AATAAAGAAGTCTGTACATAGGTCAGAAATTATAAGAAGAATCTGAATTGTTGTGGTTTAATCAGAATTTATGATACCTAATACATTATTTCTTGGAAGTCATATTTCTCTTCTGCAAGACTTCCAAATATGAACAACTATATAAATACAGTTGTTACCCAACAGGGTTATATTATGTGCTGGTTCTTGTGTGTGAACTTTCTACCCACCCCTCACCCCACTCTTAACTATGGACAACTCCATATGTCTACAATTTCATAAAAGAATTTCTCACTGCATAAATAGTACATGAATATATTTCTTTACAAAAAATTAAAACAATGCACATAAAATTAAAATTCTTTGACTACCATAAACTTTCTGTCTGAACAAAACACTGCCTGGTCCTGCACCATCCCCATGATTGTTTGCAGATTGGACTATTGCGATCCATAGAGTTTTCGTTGGCTGATTTTTGGAAGTAGATCACCAGGCCTTTCTTCCTAGCCTATCTCAGTCTAGAAGCTCCACTAAAACCTATTCAGCATCATAGCAACTCCCAAGTTTCCACTGACAGACATATGGTGGCTGCACATAAGGTTTATTTACTGAGAATCGAAGCTGAGTCTCCCGCTTGGAAGACAAGAATTCTACTACTGAGCTACCACTGCCTCTATTTAAGTCCTTAGAGCCTGAAAATGAGTCGTGTAGTGGTTGACCTGATTGGAGCACTGGGATGTGGGAGGTATTTCGTATTCTTTTGTCTTTAATACCTCCCTCTCCACTCTGTCCCAACCTACTCCGTTTATCTCTCCCAGACTCTGACTTGGTGTGTAGCACGCTCTACTTTTATGGCCCTCCTTAAGCTCGGTGGCGGCCCGTTAGGAGAATTGATGGCAGAATAGAGATCTCAGCCTAAACCAGCTCTCAGCCAAATTCTTTCTTGATAGATAATGATCGTTTCTGAGACCAGAAAGGCAAAGCAGAGCACCAACAAAACCGCTCACCCCAGTTCCTAGTGGTCATCCATTCAACACGTAAATTCAGCAAAAGGCTTTGCCCCCTCCTAAAGCATTTTACAGTCTGCTCTTCTAAAATCCAGGCCAAATGTTCTTGCCTGTTGGGGAAAAAAAGGGAGAATGAAAAGGATTTCACAATATGGTTCATATGTTTTACTCTCTAAACTGTGGTTCATTAAGCGAGGCACTTAAATTTTGCAAAGAGAGGCTTATTCAAGACTGAGTCACATATTTGTAAAAAGTTGAATTTAGTAAATAGTAATTAAAAAAAAAAACAAAAAAAAAACCGTCAAATCGATTCCAACTCATAGCTACCCACGGGCAGAGTAGAACTGCCCCCATAGGGTTTCCAAGGCTGTAATCTTTACTGAAGCAGACTGCCACATCTTTCTCCTGCCGAGTGACTGGTGGCTGGTGGGTAAGAACTGCAGATTGATTAGCAGCCAAGCGCTTAACCCTTGCATCACCAGGGCTCCAAATTGTAATAGGTTATTTTTATTGTTATTGTGGTGAAAATATACACAACAAAACATACCAATTCAACCACTTCTACATATGTAACTCAGTGGTATCCGTTAGACTCCTCAAGCAGTATAGCCGCTACTCTTCCTTTCCTTTTCCAAATTATCGCATCACCATTAACATACATTCAGTGCCCCCTAAACGAAAACTCCCTTTTTCCCCTTCCCTCTCACCCCTGGTAACCACTAATAATCTTTGGTTTCTATGTATTTCCTTATTTCATGTAAGTGAGAGTACACAGTTATTTGTCCTTTTGCAGCTAGCTTACTTGCTCAATAAGGAGCCCTAGTGGTGCAGTGGTTAAAACACTCAGCTGCTAACCAAAAGCTTGGTGGTTTGAGCCCACCAGCCACTCTGCGGGAGAAAGATGTGGCAATCTGCTTCTGTAAAGGTTACAGCCTCAGAAACCCGGGGCTGTTCTACTCTGACCTATAGGGTTGCTATGAGTTGGAACTGACTCGACAGCAATGGGTTTGGTTTAGTTTATTTTGCTCAGCATAATGTTTTCAGGGTTCATCCATGTTGTGGCATGCATCAGAACTTCCTTTCTCTTTATGGCTGCATAATATACCATTGTATGTATGTACCACATTTAGTTTATCCAATCCTCTGTTGATGGACATTTCAGTTTTCACCTTTTGGCTATTATGAAAAAGTGCTGCAGTGAACATTGGTGTACTGTAACAGGTTATTTTAATGGAAGTTTTAAATTTTCAACCAACACAGCATCATCTTTTCCTTTACCTATCACTAATGTGAGGAGCCCTTGTGGCGCAGTGGTTAAGCCCTCGGCTGCTAACCGAAAGGTTGGCAGTACAAACCCACCAGCCACTCCTCAGGAGAAAGATGTGGCTATCTGCTTTTATAAAGAGTTACAGCCTTGGAAACCTTATGGGGCATTTTTACTCTGTCCTAGGAGGTCGCTGTGAGTTGGAATCGACTCCATGGCAGTGGGTTTGGTTTAGAGTTTATCACTAATGTGATTGATTGCATAGTCAAACTCCTAGGGTGGAGGTACCCAAACTTTGCTGAGCATCAGAATCACCTGGGGATCTTTTAAAAATCCCAGGTCATACCCCATACCAATTACTTCAGACTGCCTGTGGGGAGGAGCCAGATATCAGAAATTTTTGAAGACTCCCAGGCATTTTCAATGTGCAGTAATGTTTGGGAACTACTGTCCCAAATTAATTAAAGCCCCCCACTGCTGTCGAGTCAATTCCAACTCACAGCGACCCTATAGGACAGGGTAGAACTGCCCATAGGCTTTCCAAGCCTGTAATCTTTACAGAAGCAGACTGCCACAGCTTTCTCCTGGAGCAGCTGATGCGTTCCAACTGCTGACCTTTCGGCTAGAGGCTGAGCGCTTTAACCACTGCACCACCAGGGCTCCTCCAGATTGATTAAGAGAATCAATCTTTTTGGTTTAAAAAAGATAATATCTAGGAGGCACAAAACAATTATATAGTTAAGATATTTCAAATTAAGTATTTAAGTGGTTAAGAGCTCGCCTGCTAACAGAAAGGTCAGCATTCAAAGCCACTGGCAGCTTCAAGGGAGAAAGATGTGGCAATCTGCTTCCATAAAGATTTACAGCCTTGGAAACCCTATGGGGGAGTTCTACTCTGTCCTATAGGGTTGCTATGAATTGGAGTCAACTCGATGGCAATGGGTTTGGGTTTGGGTTTTCTGTCCATGATGCAATAAACTTACTGAACAAGAATTTTCAAAATGAGATATAATAGTAATAAAATTTGCTAAATTGAAACTTTAAAGTGGGTTTTTGATTATAAAACTATTGAGTACAGAAAGAACATAAACTACAGGGCTTTCTTGACATTCATTACAAATTTGCATGTAATACATAGATAGCACAGGCATGCTTTATGAGCCTAAGAAAGGTATACTAATGACATGTGGGCAAACCCCTTAGTAACCAGCAAAAGGCACGTAGAACCTCATCAAAGATTTAAGTGAATTGTGGTGATTTTTGAGCCCTGGGAGGAGTAATCAGAGAGAGCCTTATTTTGTGTAGCACCTGTATTTTGTGTAGCCATCCTTGCATTAGATATTGCTTTTACTGTACGTACATGCTTCCACTTAATTGCTTTTAAAAATTCTGAAGAATGTTTCAAAACTTAACCTTCCCATCCCCAGCTGGAATGGGATTTGTGTCCCATCCAGATCAAAGAGCAAGCTTAATATGAGGGCCTGTTGCACCCTGAGTCAGCACCCTACAAGAATGCGTACAAACCCCAGAGCTTCTTTCTCCCAGGGAGGGAGGGGATTTAAAAAACTGCAGTGTGGGGGAGGGGACCATTTGTCCTTCTCTCTCTAGGGAAGCAACTTTTTCAAACCTCTTTCATTTGCTGACTGCTCCAGAGAGCTTTGAGTTGGGCCTAGGGAAGTTGACCTTTCCATTAAACCTGAATGGACTATGAGAGACTTCTGCTGCTGTTGTTTTGTTTGGGTTTTGTTTTTGTTTTTCTTCTGGCTTTTCTTTCTTTCTTGTTGGGTCTTGAAAGGGCAATTGTTGACGTTATCCAAACACACCAATTCTGTGTCTGCCCACGCTGGAAATCTTCAACCTGGGCAATAGCTGCCTCTCCTTTCTTTTGCTAACCCAGCCCCTTCTTTGGACTGAGGTTACTTGCTAAAACAATGGTATGTGCCGTCGACCAATCCAAAGGGAATAGAATTACCTAACAGATCTAGGGCAGACATTTGGGGGAACTCACCTTGGGCTTTGATCCAGCAGAAGCTGTGTTTGGACAATGTGTTTCGGTCAGTTGTGGTGAGTCTTCACAAAAGACAAGCGAGTAACTGAAGTAGGGGTGGTCTGCTTTCTGCGGTAATTTCCTCTTACCTTTTCTTCCCTCCTCTCTGGTGTTGTTATCATAACCTAGGTTATCACTTCTTATTTTGCACGGCCACAGTAAGTGGCACAATCTTGTCTTTCAAAATATACTTAAGGATAGAAAAAAGCAAGGACAAGTTGAAATAAGCTCATCTCTAAAGAAACCTAGTGTTTCTAGCCTTATGACTTCTATGCATAGAATTCTACCCTAAGACCTGACTGTGTTTTGAATGGGATGCAGGACATATCTAAAACCTTTGGCCTGTTTGTTTTTGTTTTGGAAGGTTTTGTTGCCTGGAGGTAAACATTCCAAAGTTTGGGTTTTTTTTTTTTTTTTTATGTTTCTGAAGGTATGGCTGGACATTGTTTAAAAAAAAAAAAGAAGAAGGAAACCTGAAGTGATTGCTAGTTTTGTGTAGTTTATATTTATTTGTGTCTTAGAAGATGAGTATTTTAATTCACCTGGGAGCTGAGCCCCTTGGCTTGGAAGGAACATGTCATAGGAAAGATGTGTACGTGTATCTAATGGCCTCATGACTCACTTCTATCATTGTTAACAAGCTTTGTGTGTTTTCTGTCAGAACACGCCTTTAACTCACTGTAATCTTCCCACTGTCTTACAGGACTACCAGCCAGACTCCCAGAAATCATGTTGGTAGGATCCCAGTCCTTCTCACCTGGGGGGCCTAATGGGATCATTAGAAGTCAGTCCTTCGCGGGTTTCAGTGGCCTTCAGGAGAGGCGATCCAGGTAAGTAGGATGCCATTCTCCTGGGATGCAGTGTGAGAAGGCAGCAAGCTTTGATGTTGTGAAGACGTGCATGTAAACTCAAAACACACGTGTGTGTGTAGACAAGCAAAAGAGTATTTTAATGTCTTTTTCATGGAAAAAATTGTAATGTACCAAAATTACATGCTATAACTTCTTTTCTAAGGAGCCCTGGTGGCACAACAGTTAAGTACTTGGCTGCTAACCAAAAGGTTGGCAGTTCAAACCCACCCAGTAGCTCTGCAGGAGAAAGACCTGGCGATCTGCTCCCATAAAGATTACAGCCAAGAAAACCCTACAAGGCAGTTCCAGTGTCACATGGGGTCACTATGAGTCAGAATCGACTCGACAGCACCCAACAACAACAGTTTCTTTTCTATTATTTAGGCTTCCTCCTGCAAAGAATAGCTGAGGATTTAGGAAAAACTAGCGATACATGTGTATACCTTCCCCTGTCACTCCCCTGAAGCTACCTTGGGATGAAGCATGTTCTCCATTGCATTCAGATTTTGGGAACTATGTTTGGTATGAAGTTATGCAGTAGATAAAGATTCAGCCTCTGCAGACCGAACCCAGGAAGTAGATGGCATTCAGACGCAAGGTTGAGAAAGTTAGTCTTCTAGTTTCCCTGGCATCTCCTCTCATCTAACTACACCTTCCTTTAGTCATTTAGCACATTTATTCATTCTTTGAACAAGCATTTTTTTAGTTCTTACCGTGCTTCAGGTTAACATTATCAGTTACTAGTTGCCATCGAGTGGGTTCTGACTCATGGTGACCCCACATTCATCAGAGTACAAATGTGCTCCACAGGGTTTTCTGTGGCTGACTTTTTGGAAGTAAATCGCCAGGACTTTCTTCCGAGGTGCTTCTGGGTGGACTCGAACTGCCACCTCTTGGTTAGCAGCCAAGTGCGTTAACCAATTTCACCACCCAGGGACCCCCTATTTCCTACTACCTGTTCATTATTTCTACCTGGAAGTGTTTTGTCCTTGGCTGCCCCACAAGTTTCTAGTAGGTGATGCATTTTCACTCAGAGTGCACATTACCTGAAGCCAGGCTTGATTTTGGACAGTGCTACCCAGCAACGCTTCCAGATTTCTGCAGTTAACAACTCTAAACCCAAGAAACTGAATGTAGGATAGCTCAGTTCTGTTAATATACAAGGAAACGTTATTTTCCCTAAAGGACACTAATAGGAACACAAGATGATTCAAAAAGCATTTGTTTGGCCTAATCCTTTTTGTACCCTCGACTGACAATTTCGTCTTTTCTTTCCATAGGTGTAACTCATTCATTGAAAATACCTCTGCTGTCAAGAAGCCTCAGGCCAAACTCAAGAAAATGCACAATTTAGGACACAAAAACAACAGCCCTCCCAAAGAGCCTCAACCTAAAAGAGTGGAAGAGGTTTACAGGGCCTTGAAAAATGGACTTGAGTAAGAACATTCGACCCACTCATGGGGTTTTTCCTTTCTAAAATACCCAGCGGGGGTCAGAAAAAAGCTAGTTATATGAAATAATTTAAAATGCCTCTGTAGTAGGTGTTTTATTCTTGCACCAAGATCAGGGAAGCCTTGAATGGGTTTCAACAATTTGAAATATGTGGGGCTTCCACATTATATCCATAACATTGAAGGAGACTTTAAAAATGAACGTGTTTATGTTTATCTTTGTACAGTATTGCATTTCACTTAAACAGTTGTGGGCAGGCATATCTAGAGATGCTGAAGAAGGGTTCTCAAACCTTCTGGAATATATTACTGGGATTGTTTGTCCAGAATAAAACTCCCCTAGTGTAGTGAGACATCTACAGTCAGTGTTGTATTTAACTAGATAAAATCCTGTGAGCCCAGACTAATTCCAGAGATGTCTTGCTCCTTCTCTCCCCAATGATTTTTCTTTTCTGGACATTTAGGCTTACAGGAGTTCTCCTTTTTGATCATTTGGATGGTATCAGATGCAACTGCTAGAGCTTTCAAAATGTTGAGAAGTTGAGAAAGTACAGAGCCCCCTACCCCACCTGCCCTCTACAGAGCAAGGCTCAGATTCTTCACCCTTTTGCAGAAGGAAAAGGTCAGCAGTCAGCACCAGACTCCACTTGATGGTCACAGAGTTCACGCTTATGTCTCGTCTTATCTTTATAGTGAATATCTGGAGGTTCACCAGACGGAGCTGGACAAGCTGACAGCTCAGTTAAAAGATATGAGAAGAAACTCTCGCCTGGTAGGTACCATCCCGTCATTAGGATGTTAAAGTGGTGTTGTTTTTTCAGCTAAGTATCTTCTACTTGATGGGGACGGGGAGGAACATTTAAAGGAAAAAAAAAATTTAAACTCCCTAAAAAAAAAAAAAAAACCATTGCCATTGGGTCAATTCTGACTCATGGCGACCCCATGCATTACAGAGTAGAACTGCTCAATAGGGTTTTCTTGACTGTAATCTTTATGGAGACAGATTGCCAGGCTTTTCTTCCACGGCTTTGCTGGGTAGATCCAAACCACCAACCTTCATGTTGGTAACCAAGTGCAAACCGTTTTTACCACACTCCCTGTGCCCCTTTCATTTACTAGAAAATGAAAAGTTGGTGTTCTCATAGCATATTAATAGTACAGAATTTGAAAGCCAGAAGTTTTGTTTTATTTCCAATTTTTTAAAAATGTGATAAGTCAGTGAAGCCAGGGAGGGAAAGGAGACTTGGGGTAACCAATATGTGAAGCTGGAAAAGTTCCTGGCCAGATCAGTTACACATTGTATTGCTTAAGATGTCTGCAAAGTCCCTCTATTCTAATGAATTTGTGAAGACTTGCCTGACTTAAAAGGTGTTTCTAATGTATACACTATTTTAAATGACTTTGTTCATTTCTAAATGATATTGCACCTTAATGTTTAAAGGCATTAGAAAGCCCAAGAACAGTCTACATATACCTAGGAGGTATATGTATTTTCTTTTTTAGGTATCTTATTTAGGTATATTATTTTCTTTTTTAGGAGAGCACTAAAATGTATATTGTCGTTTTTAAAGGAATGAGGTTAAAAGACTTCATATTCTAATGATATTGCCATTGCCCCCAATCTTTGTGACATTCTTTATGGGATGGCTTTCAGAGCTTTGGAATGCCTGTGACCATCCTCAATGGCAGCAAGTGTTCCTCCTTGGAACTGGGCCCTAGTCTTCCATAAAAATCAAAACCAAACTAGTTGCTGTCAAGTCAACTCCAACTCATGGTTACCCCAGGTGTGCAGAGTAGAACTGAGCTCCATAGGGTTTTCAATGGCTGATTTTTCAGAACTAGTTCACCAGGCCTTTCTTCCAAGGCACCTCTGGGTGGACACAAACTTCCAATCTTTCAGTTAGCAGCTGAGCACTTAAGTCTTCACACCACCCAGGGTCTTCAAACCCATAAAAAAACAAACCTATTGCTGTAGAGTCAATTCCGACTCATAGTGACCCTGTAGGACAGAGTAGAACTGCCCCATAGGGTTTCCAAGGCTGTAACCTTTATGGAAGAGGACTGCCACATCTTTCTCCCACGGAGCAGCTGGTGGGTTTGAACCACCAACCTTTTGGTTAGCAGCTGAACCATTAACTCTTTGTACCACCCAGGGACTCCAGTGTTCCCTAAAATTTCTCCCAATAGAGGAAGTAGTTATAGTGCTGCTTGAGAGTGTCCCCTTGGTCTCCTCAGCTTTCAGTGTGAGCAGTTTCTCTACCCACACACCGACTACCATGAGTGCACAGAAAATGAACTTGGTGTAAAAACAGTTTGTGAAAAGTATATTACCATCCTCAAGAACTCCTTGCTAAATACCGATTTTACGTGTTTAAACAGGCAGGCAAGGTATTTTTAACACATGTATCACTGCTACATTTTATAGTAACACCATTTATTTTTAAAACATTTGAAAAATGAAGATTATATGTTCTTTAGAATGTAAGAGAAGAGAGTTCAAAGCCAGTGAAAAATTTAAGGCCCCAGTGGGCAGAGAGAACTGGCAGGGACTCTGAAAACATGGAATATAAATAAATACTGGCTTTTGAAAATATTTTTACTGGTATTTAAGATAAGCCATATGTTCTGCTGTGTATATATTCTCAGTAACAACAACAAACATATAAAATAAATTATTAAAAAAAAAGGCATTGGGCACTAGTGGATATAAATGTAAGTAAGGCACAGTGCCTTTCTCAGACCAGTGGAAATAGACATGTGCACAAGGAAATATCAACACAAGTCCAACTGTGGGAAAAGTGAAAACAGAAGTAAACCACTCACTTCGGGATGACAAAAAAGAAAGTTATTAATCCTGGCTTAGGAGTTGGGAGATACTTCACAATGATGGTAAACAAGGAACATCTCCTTTAATGTAATCAGAGTTGCCCTCAAAAAGCAATGTGTAAGTACTAAGAAAGCATTTGTCTGGACTTGAACTCACCCATGACCCAGAAACATATTCAATAAAACGTCTTGGAGGAAATACACTCCCCCCCTCCAAAAAAAGTAAAGTTCACCAAAAAGGACATTACTTTTTTTTTTTTTTAATTTAATTGTTTTAAGTGGAAGTTTACAGCACAAATTAGCTTTTGATTCAAAAATTTTATACACAAATTGTTTTGTGACATTGGTTGCAACCCCCAGGAATATGACTTTTAAAAACCTCCACCATAAGATCTTAGAATGTGTTCGAGGGATTCTCAGAAGGCATTCCACACAAGGTGTCATGTGGCACCTGATAATTACTTTCTGTTGACAAGTTACATGTTGAGAGGCAAAACATCTGCCTAGTGAGCTTATCTGTGCACCTATTTTCCTATGTTTTTCTAAAATAAATAGCACCCTAAGGAAAGCATTATTTGTTGTTTGGTGTTGCCAATATGAGTACTTCTTAAGCTGTTTATCATGACATGAAAATTATCTCTCATGCTACAAATTCTTGCTGGAGAATAGTCAATTTAAATGGTTTATCTTAAAAAAATTTTTAATATATTTTTTAAATAAGCCAGAATTTTACTCTTTTAAAGCAGATGTTGAAGAATCCCGCCAGACTTTGCATTTTAGTATAATCATTATCTCACAGATAATGCAGAAATGCAGACAAAATAAATCCCTCTAGTAATATCAGTAATGATTTGGGGAAGATATTTTTTAATCCAGATATTCCTTTCTTTATTTTAGGGTGTGCTGTATGACCTAGACAAGGTAAGTTTTCATTCTGTGTTGGGATCCTGCTGAAAAATTAAACCTTGTATCCTTGAGTAGAAGTCCGGGAGAGATGCTTTTAGGGACAGTAAGATTTTAGAGAACTAGTGATTTTTCTAATCCTGGAAAAAATCCACGCGTTTGTCTAACGAGAATGATGAATATGTACTATCATCTACAGATCCAATAAAGTGCTTAAGGTCACTTCCATAAAAATGCCACCTGGTTGTAGGGTTTGTTAGTCTTTTGATAAGTTTAGAAACCCTTCCCTGTGTTTTTTCTAAGTAGTAGCAACCGTACCCCATCAAATCTATGACATCTTTGACTGGAAAATGCACCATTACTTTACATGCTACTAGGAAGAAAAAAAAAAAAAATGATTCCACCCAATTCTGACACAATTCTTTCTTTTTCACTTAAAATTTGTAGTTTGTACTTATTGACATTCTCTTTCAGGCCTATTTAGATGTGCAGCCTTTTAAATTATTATTATATATGATGCTGCTCTGTTTCCATGCCTCTCTGTGTACACAATAAGTTTTTTATTTTATTGCTGAATCATTGTATAATCTTTCTGATGACATTTTAATGGGCATTTAAATTTAATACATGTAATACAAGCAATACATGTAACGCAAATGAAGAGATGATACACAAAAAACTATGATTATCTTTGAACGTGCACAGACAGCTGCCTCCTGGCCAGTAGCAATTGTAAAATGCACCTTAATTTCAGAGACACAAAAATGAGAAGGGGGGTGTCCATCTTAGAACTGATTAAATATGCTATTATGAAGCATCTTACGTTACTCCATTATAATACTGTCCTGCCAGAAATCTACTTGGTTAGCCTCCTTGGTGTTAAAGACAAGGATTCCAGTAATTCACTCAAGTTCATCTCTCAGAATATTTACTCAGTATTTTAAAAAATACTTTCCAAGTTGACCTTAGGTAATCTCTAAAATAGCAGCAAAGATAAGGAGAAGGGGGAAATATTTAACATTTTCTGGTACTTTTGGGTATGAGAGAATTAAGGCAATATCCTCACAAGCCTAGAATAATTAAACTGCAAATGGCTATACTTTTTCAAACATCTTCTTTTAATTCCAGCAAATTAAAACAATCGAAAGGTACATGAGACGCTTGGAGTTTCACATTAGTAAGGTAAGTGACATCCTATTGTATTTCTTTGCCTCTGTTTTTTAGTTCTCAGTTACTGATCAATGCACCTTTGCCCTGAGCTGAGCATCTAGTCCATGGAGAATTTCTTATTTAATTGACTCCTAAGCAGATAAGCATATTAAGGCCTCCCACAGGCAAAAGAGATAGAGGAATAATGAGAACGAAAAGCCTGATAACCTGGAGCAGTTTTGACTGTACTTCAGTTCAGCAAACGTTCATTAAGTGCTTTCTCTGTAGCTTGCACTTTTTTGGCAGAGGGCTTACAGCCTCAGTGTAGTATGGTTAGAGGTAAGAGATTGAGTCAAGCTGCCCCTACAAAAAATGTCTTACATGGCAACTTTACACTCTGGTCCTGCGTACAACTTGGTACCACATACACTTCCTCATGAAGGCCTTTGAAGTATTGAAAGTCAGCTCTCATGTGCCTCCCTAAATCTTTCTAAAATTCTTGGTTCCTTCTGCTCTTCTTCATATGGCATAGTTGGCAGGTACCTTTCCACCCAAATTGCTCCCCTAGATGGGCACTGATTTGTAGGGTCTCTGACATCTAGTTCTCAACCTTATAAATAGTTCACGGTTAGTCCAACTAGCCTTGTATGGAGTGGAACTATCACCCCCTTGTTTTGGACACTCAAGAGTTATTGGTGCAACCTAAACAAGATCTCCCTTTGGGGACAGCTAAATCACACCATTAGCCATTCCTGTTCACTTCACATTGTTCCCGTCCACACTCATCTACCTCTCTTCCAAGTGGGAGACTGGGTGGTTTTACAAATGTTTCTGCAAGGAGTCAGAAGCCTTAGGTTCTAGCCTCAGCTCTGCCACATACTCAGTGGGCCATATAATCTATGTGGACCTTGGCGTTCCACTCTGTGAAATGAGAGTGGGAAGGGGCATGTACTTGATCTAGATAATCCTCAGAATCCTTTCTGCTTTAAATTCCAGGATGATTTATATGTGTGTATTGTCGTTAGTTGCCGTCGAGTCGATTCTGACTCATGGCGATCCCATGTGTACAGAGTAGAACTGCTCCGTAGGTTTTTCAAGGCTGTCACCTTTAGAAGCAGATCACCAGGTTTGTCTTCCAAGCTGCCTCTGGGTGGGTTTGAACTACCAACGTTTCAGCTATAGTAGTCAGGTAGGTAACCATTTGCGCCACTCAGCCATGCCTTTACGTGTGTATACCTATGTGTATGTTACTACCTTTGTAATTTTCCACTTTGAAAGATATTGATGACTTAGGCAAATCTGATATTGCTCCTATTTCAGATCAACTCAATACATAAAACAATGAAATCCATTAGAAGGTATTGTGCGGCAGGCAAGCCCCGACAAATTATTCTGCTAAGTTTGAAAAACAGGGAAAGAAAACAAAATCAGTATTAGGTTGGGTGTATTTATTAATCTTGTATCGATCCATGTTGGGTACAACAATCCTGATGGTTTTTAAAGGTCAGTGGTACTGTTTGCAGCATCTTATATAGGATAGCTAGTAAATAACGGAAACCCTGGTGCATAGTCGTTAAGAGCTACGGCTGCTAACCAAAAGGTCAGCAGTTCAAATCCACCAGGCGCTCCTTGGAAACTCTATGGGGCTGTTCTGTCTGTCCTATGGGGTCGCTGTGAGTCAGAATTGACTGGATGGCAAGGGGTTTGGTTTTTTGGGGGAATTAATAAATAATATTTATTGAATGAGTTAATCAGTTAATCAGTTTATTTGATGAGAGCCACTGCTGATTTACAGGTAAGACATATATTTGTCTGCAAATGGACTGGTTTCTGCTCAGGTGATGTACATAGATACCCTTTGTCTACACTGAAGTTTAACTCCATTTTGCTAGGATAGATTGATATTTGAATGAAAACAAAGAATAAACTTTTCTGTAAGTGTAAAGTAATAAACTAAATCATTACAGTTATACTAATGCATTGATGGATCACGGTAGAATTCTCACCTTCCATATGGGAGACTCGGGTTCAATTTCCAACCAATGCACTTCATGCACAGCCACCACCCATCTATCAGTGGAGGCTTGCATGTTGTTATGATGTTGAACAGGTTTCAGTAGAGCTTCCAGACTAGAATGGACTAGGAAGAAAGGCCTGGCAGTCTGCTTCCAAAAAATCAGCCAATGAAAACCCTATGGATCACAATGGTCTGATCCACAACCAATCATAGAGATGACCCAGGATCCGGCAGCGTTTCATTCCGTTGTGCATGGGGTCATCCTCATCAACAGAAACTAACACCACCACCACCAATGGTCTAGTGAGCAGTTTCCTTGTTGGAAAGATTAAAATCTCAGAGACTTTGGAGTACCCAGTAGTGAGGAAGGGGTCAAAAGGGCAGTTTCCTGAGAGATCACATGGATGAAATAACCTGGCCTGCATTGGAAGAGGTATTGGTGCCTGTGTTTCTAAAAGTTTGGCAGGCCTTCCCACATCAGAACCATCTGCAATGCTTATTTAAAATTTCAGATTCCCGGCCCAGCCCCAACCTACTGACTTAGCATCACAGCAGAGGTTTGGGCATCAGCATTTTAACAAGCTCACCAGGTGATTTTTAGTTTAGTTTTAACGTAGGGGAACCACCCTCTACACCAGTCAATAATATTTTATCAGTAGATATGCCACACCGTGAATCTTAAACCTACCTCTTAATCAGAAACAAGTCCATTGGCCCTGAAGACTAAAGACTATTCTTTTCAGAACTCGTGAACTCCTCTCAGCAAAGTTGAGTGAACTGATGAACTAAATAGCAACAAAGAATCCTTTAACTATGAGAATAATTTTCAGTCTCTTAATGTTCCCATCTAGGCTAAGTATTACTGACATCTATGTAGAGAAAGCAATTATGGAAAATTATACTACTCTAAGGGGAGTAGGAGCGTGGGTGGCACAAGCAGTTTGCACTCGGCTGCTAACCCAAAAATTGGCAGTTCAAACCCCCCCCCCCACTGACTCTGTGGAAGAAAGACCTGGCTAACTGCTTCCATAAAGATTATAGTCAAGATAACCCTATGGAGCAGTTCTACTCTGTAACACATGGGGTCACTGTGAGTCAGGGGCCAACTCAATATGGCAGCAGCTAACAATAGAAGGTAGCAGTAATGCTTTTTAGTGAACAGCCAAAACTGCCTTCAGAACAAAAGCAGTATCTTAAACTCTGAAATCTAGTATATTCATTGCCATCTTTGTCTGGATCTGCAGCTTAAGCCTCCTTTTTGAGGGAACAAAGTTTGTACTGAAATAAAAATTCAAGTGGTCCAGAAGTGATAGGTTTATGTTTGTTTCTGCTAATCCCTGGAGAGGTCTTCCTTTGTTATCTGCCTAAAAATCCCTGTAATTGAATACGGTCAGTTTAGTGTGTTCATAACTGAAGATAATATAAGACTATAGAGATAAACATCATCGGGAGTAACTTTAGGTTTTCTCAACGTCAACATGATTGATATTTTAGGATAGTTCTTGTTGTAAGGGGTTGTCTTGAGCATTGTAGGATGTTTAGCAGCATCCCCAGCCTCTACTCAGTAGATGCCTGTAGCACCACCCCAGCTGTGACAACTAAAAATGTCAGCAGAGATGGCCAAATAGTCCCTGAGGGCAAAATTGCCCCCAGGTGATTGAGAATCACAGCCTTAGAATTATTAAGTGGTTATCAGGCTTATGATAATGAGTATGAACAATAATCATTTCCAGAGATTATATTACTGTTTTGAAGCATAAGTGTAGAGGTATAGCAGGGAAAAAGTTCATTTTCATTGCTTCAATTCATTTTTTTTTAATTGTTGTGCTTTAAGTGAAAGTTTACAGTTCAAGTTAGTCTCTCATACAAAAATTTATACATACATTGTTATGTGACCCTAGTTGCTCTCCCTGTACTGTGACAGCACACTCCTCCTTTCCACCCCAGATTCCCTGTGTCCATTCAACCAGCTCCTGACCCTCTCTGCCTTCCCATCTTGCCTCTGGACAGGAGCTGCCCATTTAGTTTTATGTATCTACTTAAGCTAAGAAGCACACTCTTCACGAGTATCATTTTATGTCCAATAGTCCGGTCTAATCTTTGTCTTAAGAGCTGGCCTCAGGAATGGTTTCAGTTCTGGGCTAACAGAGAGCCTGGAGGCCATTTCTTCCCAGGTCCCTCCAGTCTCAAACAAACCACCAAGTCTGATCTTTTTACTAGAATTTAAGTTCTGTACCCCACTTTTCTCATGCTCTATCAGGGACTCTCTGTTGTGTTCCCTGTCAGGGCGGTCATTGGTGGTAACCGGGCACCATCTAGTTCTTTTGGTCTCAAGTTTATGAAGTCTCTGGTTTATGTAGCCCTTTCTGCCTCCTGGGCTGGTACCTTCCTTGTGTCCATGGTGTTCTTCATTCTGTTTTACTGCAGGTGGGTTGGGACCAATTGATGCGTCTTAGATGGCCGCTGGCTAGCTTTTAAGACCCCAGACACCACACACAAAGGGGGATGCAGTACTTTTTCTTAATAAGCCTTGTTATGCCAATTGACCTAGATGTCCCCCGAAACCATGATTCCCATACCTCTGCCCCTACTACTCTGTTCCTCGAAATGTTTGGTTGTATTCAGGAAACTTTTCAGCTTTGGTTTAGATCAGTTGTGCTGACTTCCCCTATAGTGTGTGCTGCCCTTCCTTTCACCTTAGATAATTCTTGTCTACTATCTAGTTAGTGAATACCACTGTCCCTCCCTCCCCACCCTCGTAACCATCAAAGAATGTTTTCTTCTGTGTTTAAAGCTTTCCTTGAGTTCTACTAATGGTGGTCTTATATAAATATTTGTCCTTTTGCGACTGACTAAATTCACTCAGCATAATGCCTTCCAGATTCCTCCGTGTTATTAGATGTTTTATGGCTTCATTGTTGTTCTTTATCATTGTGTTGTATTCCATTGCATGACTGTACCATGATTTGTTTATCCGTTTGTCCGTTGATGGGCACCTAGGTTGTTTCCATCTTTTTCCTATTGTGAACAGTGCTGCAATGAACATGGGTGTGCATATATCTATTCATGTGATTGCTCTTATTTCTCTAGGATATATTCCCAGGAGTGGGATTGTTGGATCATTTGGTACTTCTATTTCTAGCTTTTTAAGGAAGCGCCAAATCGATTTCCAAAGTGGTTGTACCATTTTCATTTTTTTAAATTGTGGTGTAATTTAGCAACAACAAAAAAAAAAATCACACTTCTTAAGTGTTCAGTTTGATAAGTTTTGACAATTGTGCTTCACCCTAACTTTAAAAATAACTTAATAACCTCGTTTTCCCTCTTTATTATTGAGCCAAGATTTTAACAAAAATTGCTTTTAATAAATAACACCAAGTTCTTAAAAAAAAAAAAAGCTGAATGTGGATGTGTGAATATCACCTGTGACAATACTTCTTAAAATAAAGTGATAATCGCCTAGTATATTACAAAGTTTTCACCTTGGTGTGAAACTACAAACTCCTTTAGTGTTTGTTCCATATATATAGAAGGCTCCTGGTAGTGCAGTGGTTAAGGGCTATGGCTTCTAACCAAAGGTCGGCAGTTCAAATCCACCAGCCACACCTTGGAAACCTTATGGGGCAGTTCTACTCTGTCCTATAGCCTCGACTCAACAGCAATAGGTTTGTCTTCATTACCCGATATTTGTCTCACACAGTCCACCAATGTTAAGTTCATTTTTATTTTTTATAATTTGAAAAGAAGGATCAAAGTCGAATCCTTTTAGAAATAGAAAATGGCTAATGTAGAAAGTGTTGTCACACACTTCTAGAAGATTCTCCTTGTTGAGGTCAGAAACATCAGGTACCTTAAGCACTTAACAATGACTTCTGTAACGTCCTTCAAGCGTGACAAATGTTTATATCCCCTGTGTTTCCTGTTTTGATTCTGACAGGTAGATGAACTCTATGAGGCTTATTGTATCCAAAGACGCCTCCAAGATGGTGCCAGCAAAATGAAGCAAGCCTTTGCAACGTCGCCTGCCAGCAAAGCTGCTCGGGAGAGTCTCTCAGAGATCAACCGGAGCTACAAAGAGTACACAGAGGTATGTGCTTACCCATTCAGGTGCTGAACCCCGCCCAGCCTTGTCAGAATTGTTGGTGACTGCTAAGAACAAGGCGAATGTTCTTCATTCCATTCCTTAGAGAGAGAAAATTTTCCTGTCTGCCTCGCTTGTATTTTTGGAGGTAATCAGTGGAATTTGTTTAATGACTATCAGGTGACGTAGCTGGTGGTGTTCTTGCGTAGGGCTTTCATTGGACTTGAGAGCAAGTATGCCTTTCTGAATCCCAAGCATCACCTTTCAGGCACTCATCCCCTGGTGCCTTGTGACATGCTTGTTCACATACTTGTTTTACCCTGACTACAAGATTTTAGACTCTTCAAAGGCATTCACTGATCTAATCATATACTTCTTTGTGCTCCTTACTTCCTTGCATGATCTGCACACATAGACTACAAGTGCTTATTGAAGAATTCAATGAATGAAGGAATAAGCTACATTGCCCCGATTTTTGCCACATAAATGCACTTCAAGATTCTCTAGCGTATAATCTGTTTTGTTGTTATTATTGTTAGCTGCGGTCAAGTCAGCCCCAACGCATGGCAACCTCATGTGTTACAGAGTAGAACTGCTCCATAGGGTTTTCTTGGGTGTAATCTCTACGCAAGCAGATCACCAGGCCTTTCTTCTGTGGAGCCGCTGGGTGGCTTTGAATTACCATCTTTTAGGTTAGCAGCTGTCGGAAACCACTTGCACCACCTGGGCTTCCAATCTAATCTAGCTTTGTCTGTGGAAGTTGAACAGACTCTGAGGTTAAAATGGTTACTCTAGGTGTCAAAGAGGGGTGTCAGTCCCCCTGCTTCCTCAGACTTTTTACGGTGAATTTTTCCTTCTCTCTTCAAGGAGACAAAGAACTGTGAACAGAAAAGTACCTTCCCTGGACCTGTCTCTGGGGCCCTAGCATATGACAAGGGAGGTTTTCACTCTTCCTGGGTCACCTAAAACCAATGTCTTTGATGAAATGCCTCAATTATTAAAGCAGCACTTCTCACTACCTCATGAGTCCTGGCTGAAAGATCAAATTTCATGAATGAAGTCATCAGCCTGGTGAGGGGCTGTCACACAATCCCAGAGCTGAGCATCTGCCTCAGCCCTGGGATTGGTTGGGCTTCCTGGATGACTTGCAGCAGGATCACTTCACATAACCAGCCCAGTGCCACCTCTTGTCTCAACCAATTTTATCCCTTGTCTTAGTTTCTTAGTGTTGCAACAGCAGAAATACCACAAGTGGATGGCTTTAACAAACTGAAAGTTATTTTCTCACAGTTTAGAAGGCTAGAAGTCCAAATTCAGGGCCCCGGCTCTAGGGGAAGGCTTTCTGTCTTTGCCAGCTCCGGGGGAGGGTCCTTGTCTCTTCAACTTCTGTTCCTTGGCTCCTTGGGGATCATCATGTGGCATGGCATCTGTCTCCCCCCATCTCTGCTTTCTTGCTGCTTGCTTCTTAATCTGCTCCTTTTATATCGCAAAAGAGATTGACTCAAGACACACCCTACACTAATATTCTCATTAACCTATCAGAAAAACCATTCCCAAATGGAATTATAACCACAGGTATTAAAAAAAAAAAAAAAAAAAAAAACCCATTGCCGTCAAGTCGATTCCAACTCATAGCAACCCTATAGGACAGGGTAGAACTGCTCCGTAGGGTTTCCAAGGAGCTGCTGGTGGATTCCAACTGCCGACCTTTTGATTAGCAGCCATAGCTCTTAACCACTACGCCACCAGGGCTCCAACCACAGGTATAGAGGTTAGCATTTACAACACATATTTTGGGGGGGGACACAATTCAATCCACAACATCCCTTCTTGTGGCCTGAAACAGGGCTTCTTAACCTAAGTCCCGCTTTCAGAATAATGTTTTGTAAATGATAAAATACAAGGGAATTCAAAGGAAACAAATTATACTGAAATACTGTTATTTCAATATTGTCACTGCAGTTTTCAAAATATTTTTAAAAATCAAATTTGAGATATAGTCTTCTGCAGCTTCTTTATTAACACATCAGATTACAAGATCTCTAGCAGTGGGTCTAATACCTACTGAAATTTCAAAGTAGTGAAAAGTGTAATCGATTTTTCAAGGTATCTGCAGCAAATGATGTGACATGAAAACACGTGGTTTCTATTGGTGACAAAGTCACAGGTACTGCTAATACTGATGTGGCTTGTTTTCTACATTTGTGCTATCAGGAGATGTTAAGTTTCAGCTAGAGGTTGGTGAAAATAAAGATGTGATTTTCCCCTCCACTATTCAAGTTTACAGACCTCCAAGTTGAGAATCCTTGGCCTAGAAGAAGCCTTAGTTCATGAGGCCTCATTTCTACCTGTCTCTGAAATCAGATCAGCTTCTAATTACAGTGACTGTCATGTTGCAAACAGTTAAGCAGTCAGCTGCTAACCAAAGGTTGGCAGTTTGAATCCACCCAGAGGCATCTCAGAAGAAAAGCCTGGCAATCTACCTCTGAAAAATCAGCCATTGAAAACCCTATGGAGCACAGTTCTACTCTGGTTTTTGCCCGTAGTACATAGGCAGAAAACTGACCAGTGGCATTTAGGAGCTGCCTGACCTGGCATTGTTCAGAAACAGCCACCCTTGGTCAAGTGCCAGGGCACAGAATCATGACTTCACTCACAAAAATCAAAGATGTGGAGTGCGGATTTGACAAGCGAAAAGGCCACCTTAGAGAGAGAAGAAGTTCAGGAACTCTGTAGTTTCATACCTCCTCTGCTATCAGGTGATTTTGCATCTGTCTGCATATAACCACCTTGAAAGCCAGGATTGTATCACAAGAGGCATTAGGGCAAGATGCCTCTGGGTACAATAGTCATCATCAGCTGCACGTGTGAGACAGAAGAAAATTCTGACCATAGATGTCCCAAGTGTTAAAGTAACTGGCCCTCAAGTTTTTCAGTGACACCGATAGTGATCCTGACATAACATAGTTGATATTGCTGAAAAACATGATGTGTTCTTTAACAGAGATGCCCAAGACTCTTGAAAAAGAACCTTGGTTTATAATACGGAGTCTTTGTTTCCAAAACTATCAGGCTGCATAGAACTCAGACTTGAGGACTTTTTCCCCAGCTTTGTTAAGCTGCTTAAGGTCCTGCAAGCTTACAAGGGGAAAGGCAATGCCATTCTCTTTGCATTCCATCTGCACCAGTTGAGAAAAATCATATTGGAGCAGAACAAAGTACGAATCAGAACCTCTAGCCTTACAAATCAGTGCTGAAGTCATCAGCAAACAAAATTCAAATGGCTAGTAATATCTGCCAGTACTCACTGAATTGGCCTTGTTTTAGCCAGAGCCTCCACCCCCAAGGCCACAGCCTAGATGGTGGCTGGCTATGGAGGAGGAATCCTGCAGATGCCTCCAGGGGGCTGGAATGGGGACTCTGCTTAGTATAGCAGAGGTGGCACCTAAAGATTATGCTGTGATGAACCCCTGAAACTACTGCCCTTAGATAATCTTTAAACCTTAAACCAAAAATATCCCCTAAAGTCTTCTTAAAACCAAACAATAGTTTAGCTTAACTAGTAAAGAATGTCTGCCTTGAGCATTGTGCTCTTTCGAGGTCTATCTATTTGGGATCAGACTGACAACAGCAATTGGAAAGATTAGATAGGAACCTTAGGGGACAGTGAGTTTATGTTAATGGAGGAGGAACAACTCAGAAAAGGAGAGTGAGAATGGTTCACAACTTGAAGAATGTAATCAATGTCACTAAATTGTACATGTAGAAACTGTTGAATTGGTGTATGTTTTGCTGTGTATATTCTCAACAACAACTACAAAACAAATTGCTGTATGACCCAGCAATTTCCTTCCTAGGTATACACTTAAAAGACCTGAAAGCATTATTCACAGGACCAAAAGGTGGAAACAACCCAAGTGTCCCTCAACAGATGAATGGATAAACAAAAGGGGGTATATCCATACAATGGAGTATTACTCAGCCATAAAGAGAACTGAAGTCCTGATACATGCTATGACATGGATTAACCTTGAAAACACTATGCTGAGTAAAATAAGTCAGAAGCAAAAAGAGAATTACTATATGACCCCACCTATATGAAGTTTGTAGAGTAGGCAAATATATGTAAAGACAAAAGTTTTTCTAGTGGTTGAGGGAGGGAAATAGGGAGTTATTGCTTAAGAGGTACCACGTTTCTGTTTAGGGAGATAAAAAACATTTGGAAACGGATAGTGGTTGATGGTTGCACAACATGGTGAATATACTTAATGTCACTGAATTGTACACTTAAAAAATGGTCAAAATGGCTAATTTTTGAAAATTTTTTAAAAGTTTTTTGATTGTATTTTAGATGAGGGTTTACCAAGCAAATTAGTTTCTCATTAAACAATTAATACACATATTGTTTAGTGACATTGGTTGCCAACATGGCAAAATGTCAACACTCTCCCTTCTAGACCTTGGGTTCCCTATTACCAGCTTTCCTGTCCTCTCCTGCCTTCTCGTCCTTGCCCCTGAGCTGGTGTGCCCATTTATTCTTGTTTTGTTTTATGGGGCTGCCTAATCTTTGGCTGAAGGGTAAACCTCAGGAGTGACTTCATTACTGGGCTAAAAGGGTGTCCAGGCGCCATACTCTCGGGGTTTCTCCAGTCTCTGTCAGACCAGTAAACTTGGTCTTTTTTTTTTTTTTTGTGAGTTAGAATTTTGTTCTACATTTTTCTCCAGCTCCTCCGGGACCCTCTATTGTGATTCCTATCAGAGCAGTTGGCAGTGGTAGCTGGGCACCATCTGGGTGTTAGTTGTGCTGTACTCAGTCTGGTGGAGGCTGTGGTAGTTGTGGTCCATTAGTCCTTTGGACTAATCTTTCCCTTGTGTCTTTGGTTTTCTTCATTCTCTCTTGCTCCAGACTGGGTGAGACCAGTGGAGTATCTTAGATGGCCACTCACAAGCTTTTAAGACCCCAGACGCTACTCACCAAAGTATGATGTAGAACATTTTCTTTATAAAGTATGTTCTGCAAAATGGCAAATGTTTTGTTATATATATTTTACCACAATAAAACTTTTTTTAAAAAGCTTATGCTGGCCAACTTGCAAAAAGGCCTCACTGGGGACGGTCCCCGGCCATAGCACTTTTCTGTTTGATTTCTCACTCTGACTGCTTGGTTTAGGCCCTCATACTGAGGAATTAGGACTGCAGTAGTTATGTATCTAACCACACGCACAGATGGCATCAGTCCTTCTGTCTTTCCTCTTTCCTCAACCTTCAAGTGAGGTCAGACCTAGGAATCGTCGTCAGGGTGCTGTAGCACTCACTAGAGCAGAACTGAGCTCCTGAGCTCTCTTTGCCCTAAATTTTTATTACGAAAAATTTCAAACCTACAGAAAAGTTAAAAGAAGAGTATATGTTCCCTTTCTTTCTCTTCCTCCCTCTCTCCCTTCCTTCCTTCTTTTTTTGGCTAAACGGTTTGACAGTAACTAGTAGACCTCATGACACTTCACCTGCTAAATATTTTAGCACTATCCCTTAATAGTAAGCTATGCAATCTGTGTATCCCCTTCATAACCGCATACCATGATCACAACTAAGAGAATTAACAGTAGTTCTACAGAATTACCTAATATCCCGTCCATATTCAGATTGGCCCCATTTGGCCCACTAATGTCTTTTATAGCTGTTTTAGCTTATTTAAGGTTCCTGGATGGCACAAATGGTTTGCACTCAGCTACTAACCTAAAGGTTGGCAGTTCAAACCCACCCAGTGGTGCCATGAAAGAAAGGCCAGGCAATTACAGCCAACAAAACCCCATGGAGCAATTTTCTTTTTCTTTTTTTTTTTTGCTTGTCTTTCAAATCAAGATGCCATCAGGATTACCACATTGTGTTTGGTTGTTATGTCTCTTTAGTCCTTTTTATCTAGAATTTTTTTTCACGATACCGCCTTTTTGTAGAGTCCAGGCCTGTTCTTACAGAATAGCCTTATATTCTGGATTTGTTAGTTCATGATATAATTTCACTAGTTCTTCTAGACCTAAATGTCGTGTACCCTAGGAAAGAGACTTGCTTAGACTCAGCTTAAACATTTCATCAGGAATACTTCATAGTCAGTGCCACATAACTCACTGCAGACAGGTAAGTACCTGCCTTCTGTTGTTTGCGTGGTGTTCTCCACAGCTGTTAGAACGTCATGTGCTTTGAGCTGTTGTGTGGAAGAAGGGGCACTGTGACATGGTCTCCTGTTCTCTCCACAGAACATGTGCGCCATTGAAGCGGAGCTGGAGAATCTGCTGGGGGAGTTCTCCATCAGAATGAAAGGTATTCTTTTTCCTGTTCAGAGGGAATAAAGAGCAGCCTCTGTAGAGCATCTTGACGTTTGAGAGGACACGCTATTTTTATATTCCTTGCAAAGACACTGAGCCGCCCACTCTCAACCCTCCCTGCTTACATGAATTTACTGATGCTCCAGAACCTTCTCATCCTGAGACACTCTTAAAAAAAAATGTTTATTATGACAGATTTTCAAACATACACAAAAGAGATGAGATTACATTGAACCCCCATAAGCCCACTACCTAGATTTAATAATTAGGAAGATGTTGCCACATTTGCATCATCTGTTTTCATGTTTTATTTTTCCTTTCATGAAATAGTTTAAAATAAAGCCCAGATATGTCAGTCCACCCTTGTATACTTTGGTATGTGTCTCTTATAGGATAGGGACATTTTCTTACATAACCCAAGTACTCTCACATTATCACATCTAACATAATGAATAAGCCTTTGTTTTTAACCCATTCCATTATTAGATTTCCTCAGTTGTCTCCAAAATGCTTTTTATAGTTGGTTTGTTCAAATCAGGATCCAAACATTATGATTGCTTGCTAAATGTATTTCTTCTTGTTATTGTTAGCTGCCATAAAGTTAGCCCTAATTCATGGTGACCTCATGTATGACAGAACAAAACACTGTGCCATCTCCATGATTGGCTGCAGATCAGACCATTATGATCCATAGGGTTTACACTGGCTGATTTTCAAAAGTAAATCACCAGGCGTTTCTTCCTAGTCTGTCTCAGTCTGGAAGCCGCACTGAAACCTGTTCAGCTTCATAGCAACAGGCAAGCCTTTACTGACAGACATATCTCTTAAAAACCAAACCAAACCCATTGCCGTCAAGTCAATTCCAACTCATAGCAATCCTATAGGACAGAGTAAAACTGCCCCATAGAGTTTCCAAGGAGCAGCTGGTGGATTTGAACAGCTGACCTTTTGGTTAGCACCCTGAGCTCTTAACCACTGTGCCACCAGGGCTCTGACGTATCTCTTAGGTACCCTTTAAACCTAAAGCTAATCCCTACCCCGTTTTTCCTACCATTGACATATCACAGAAATCACTGTTGTATAGAATATTCCACATTCTGGACTTGTCTGTTGTCTTCTTCATGGTGTCACTTAAATTGTTCCTTTATCCCCCATGTTTTCTCTAAATTGCCTACCAATTCTTTGTTCTTCCTGTTAATCCCACCACGACCGTGCCTTTTCCTCTGTTTTTCCAAGTGCCTTTCAGGTAGTTATTCCAGAAAGTTCCAATCTATTATTGATTTATATCATAGCATCTTCAGAAGAAGAAGGAACTCAGGTTCTAGAATACAGACCATCACCCAGGTGTTGTCAGATTTGCAGCTCAGTGGCCAGGCAGGGCTATCAAACAAGCAGCCATCACAGCAAGCCCACTTGTCTTCTGGTTTTAGCGTTTTCAATTGCAGCAGAGAGGGCTGATGTTTACTCATTTCTTTTTCTGAGGTTTCTTAGCAGCTTGATCTCGGGTTGCTAATAGGGACTTAATCACCATCTTGCCTACTTTATGCAATTAAGGGAGTAAAGATGGGGGACTGTTTTTAAAGGCGCTCAACAGGAAGGGTTCATTTTCGAATGAGTCATCTAACGCAGGAGGGAAATTTTTCTGTCAAGTACTATCTATGTATGACACAAGAGAGCTTCTTGTGTGAGTGGTCCCGGAATAATAACAACCTTGACCCTAAATTTCCCAAAGGGCTGCGCTCTTCTCTTCTGCAGATCTAATAGACAATCAGTCTATTATTGAGATGGTTCTTAAATCTCAACACTTATTTCACAACTGAGATTCAGGCATCTGTGCCTTTTCAGTTTTTTAGGTCTGCTCTCTTCATTTTGGGGTCCTCATCTGAGTCCAAGCCAGCCATTTGCCCTTGCATCGATTCCAACTCATGGCAACCCCATGTATGTCAGAGTAGAATTGTTCTCCAGAGGGTTTTCAATGACTGATTTTTTGGAAGTAGATTGCCAGGCCTTTCTTCCAAAGCACCTCTGGGTAGATTCAAACCTCCAGTCTTTTGCTTAGCAGTTGAGTCAGTGGTTCCCAAACCACTCAGGCCCTGCCCCCATCCTGGCAAGTCAGAATCCAGTATTCCAGGGCAGAGCCCTGGAATATTTTTCAAAACTGTCACTATGCTTCTACAATCAGCCTCATTTGGGAAACAACTGCCCTAAATCAGTGTTTAGCAGAAAATGCCTCCCTCCACTTCCCCCTACACTCACACAGCAGCCATGCAGACAAGCACAGTTGTGGAGACTCACAGCCTCAGAGAAGTTTAGATTGAGCCTGTCCTATGACTGTTAATACAAGGAGCACCGTATTTCCTCTATTTCTGATACTGTTAACAAATGCATCAATGTCCAGAGTGGTGATAACCTCCCCATTTTATGGATGGGAAATGGAGGCCCAGAGTGGTTAAAGGGCTTGTCCCAGAAGTCCCAGAGTAAGTTGGAGTCAGTCTTGGAACTGACCTTTGGCTCCTAATGCCTTCCCACCCCCAATCCCATAATATGCTAGAAGTTCTAACAGAGCAGAGCAGGTACTATAAACCATTGCTCGAAGAATGGTCTTGTCTATAGGAGGATCCTCTCCAACCTAGCACACAGGCACCCTGGGAATGAGGTGGGAGGAAAGGGACCCCCAACCCACCAGATCTGGGGCCTCAGACCTGGTGGTTTCTGGGGGTGATGTTAGCACTGGGTTACAGTGGGCTATCACAATGGACTGACACAACTTTCTGTTGCTCCTGCTCTTCCGTCTCTGCCTCTCTGCTAGGGTGTTCTCTCTTTCCTGCCTGATCCGCTTCCTTAGCTTCTATCTGGACTCAGGTCTCTCCCATGGAGCCTCTCACACCTGAAATTGATCCTCCATATTCATGAATCGATTTCTCTCACTCCACTTTCCTAATCTAATATGAAACTCAGAAACTGTCTGTGATGCCTTCCAGGGGTAATGCCCCCATGGAAATCTTACTCTCCCTCAACAAAGGGAAAGGGAAACCGCCTCATGCTGCTAAGAAATCCTTTACCTTTGCAATTACTACTTTATTGTCTGTTACTCATTCTAGCAAAACAACCACCCCCAACATACATGTTGACATAAACCGAGAATATTTCATAATATTCTCAGACCTAGTAACCCCAACTTCCTCGTACCACACCCTTCCACACTTCCCTTTTATCCCCATCCCCAACACAGACAAAAGAGTAGGGGGTGAAGGTGATGATGAAAAAGACAATTGATCAAGGGCTTACTGACTTCTGCTAATAGGCCAGGCACTAGGGTGCATCCAGACCGGTGTTTCACGGCTTTGAGTTCCTTATAATCTACTGGAGAAAATGGACATAGGAACCAGTGTGTTCTAATTCATCAATGGGATCAATGACCTCCTAGACTAAGAGTGTGACCAGACTGCTGCAGAAGTTGGCAGTGGTAAAAGAAAGAGTCCACAATGTAACCTCTGAATTAGAATGAACGGGACCATTTTTCTAGGCAGCCAGAACAGCACTGGAACGGCACATACCAAAAAGGGGGAAAGCATGTTCAACAATGACCGGTAGCCTAGTGTGTCTGCAGCTCTTGTTGGAAGAAGAGTTGTGGAGAGTTAGTAGGGGCCAGATTGTGAAGAACCTCGAATGCCAGGCTAAACTGGAGAACTAGATCCATAAACTCTCAACCAGCATGGAAGTTAAGAGATCTGGTGCCTTAGGGAGAATTGGTTCTCTTCCTAATTACTGTACTTAGTTCACATTAAGTTCCAGCTTTCAGGGCAATTAGGAGAGGTCAGATTTCTGGAGAGGGAAGGAACACCAGCAAGCTAGTAAATCTGCATTGCTTATGCCTGGTCAATAAATCAGCAAGTTTGTAGTGGGAGTCCCATTTATCTACTTGGCTGTTTCCCTTGGAGTAGGAAGTGTGACTCTTGGAGAGGAAAATCATCATAGAACTAGGAAAATTGATGGGGAGAGTTCTCTGGCAGAATGGTCCCAAGCAGAGGAAGAAAATGGTGTGTGGTACAGAGGCATAGGGAGGGTAACAAGTGCCCAGGGGCAATCTCTAAGTTGGGACTCCCCCAACCCAATTTCAAAATGAATAGATGTTGATAGTGACAAGGCATCAGCAAAAACACCTTCCCCCGTCTTGTCCAGCTGCCTCAGGCGCCTTTCGTATTTGTGGAGCCTTGGAATGTCATTCCACACCTCATCTGGTGCCCCCTTGCAATTGTGCCCTTCCCACCCCCCCACCCCCCATGCCTCTGGTGTAGTATAGCCTCTGGGCCTCCAAACAAGGCCATGGAGGAGTTGTTATATCAGTAAAGGCAAGTGCATGGTAAAACATCCAGAAAGTAAAGGAAGAGGCACCATGAAAATAAACATCCCCTGACCCCACCACCTCTGCATACTCATCCCTCAGAGGTAGCCCCTCTTGATGGTTTTTTGAGTGTCCAAGGAAAGCTTTCAGACAATGCAGCAGTAATCACAAAACTGCTGAGAAAACATTAAGCTCATCCCAGAGGTGAAGATCCCCACAGGCCCCCAGACCAGAGCCTGAGGGAAACCTGGCCAGGCCTATAAGACATTAGACTATAAAGTTAATTGCCCCACTGTTAGTGCCAGTTCAGCGACCAGTACCAAGAGCAGCTTATACAGCAGATAAAACCCTAAGAAGCACAGCAGCAGGACTGTTTTGGCCTGGCTATCGCCATTTTGAAGCCCTGATGGCTCAGTGGTTAAGAGCTTGGCTGCTAACCAAAAGGTCAGCAGTTCGAATCCACCAGCCCCTCCTTGGAAACTCTATGGGGCAGTTCTACTTTGTCCTGTAGGGTCACTATGAGTCAGAATTGATTCTACGGCAATGGGTTTTATTTTTAATTGCCATTTTGGTCCATTATTACTATAATCAAGGAATCACTGGTGTCACTACAAGTTATTTCAAGAAATTTTACTTTGATAGCATGGGGCGAGAAGCTCAAAAACATCACTGTCAAGTACCTTTCTCCCATTTAGTTAGGTTCTTTGAATATGAAATTTTTGATAATTTTGAAAGAAAAAAAAATCCTGAAAGAATTTTTCCCCTTTACTTTCCTTTAGCCAGCAAAATTACCAGGTCAGTTTCTTTTATACCAGGCTTTCATTGTAAATTGCACACCTAAACAGGCAATGGATTGATCCTGAACTAATTTGCAGTGGTTTTTAAAGAGCACTTTGGCTTTTCTTGGAATTGGCTTGTCCAGCTTTGGATTTATAAAAGTCAGTTGTGCTTTCCTTCAGAAGTATTTAAAAAAAAAAAAAAAGACCAACTAAATCCTCCAGAAAATTATTAGTGAAAAATTGTCCTACCAAATTCTGCTTTTATTTTAGAAAATCCTTTCAAGTGGCTTGTTATGTTCTAATTATTAGTGAAAACTGTACCTATATGAACTGACTCCTTGGGAAAGGAACGGCGAGCTGATGAGTTGCTGCCATCTAGTGGCAGATGATGGTAACAATAAATGCATTTTAAGCATACCTGGTAGCGCAATGGTTAAGAGCTCAGTTGCTAACCAAAAGGGCAGCAGTTCAAATCCACCAGCCACTCCTTGGAAACCCTATGGGGCAGTTCTACTCTGTCCTATAGGGTCACTATGAGTCAGAATCAACTTAACAGCAATGGGTTTAGAGCTATGCTAGGAGTCCCTGGGTGGCTCAAACAGTTAAGCAGTCAGCTACTAAATGAAAGGTTGGTGGTTCAAACTCACCCAGAGGCACCTTGGAAGCGAGGCCTGGTGATCTGCTTCTGAAAGGTCACAGCCATGAGAACTATGGAGCACAGTTTTACTCTGACACACATGGAGTTGCCGTAAGTCAGAATGGACTCAAGAGCAACTGGTTTGGTACTGGTTTGGTACCTTCACTATTATCTTAACCATGGCACGATCCCTTAGGTAGAAAGAAGATCCTTTCAACAGTCTCAAAACTTATTAACAGGGCTATTCAGAAAAGGTAAAACTTACTGCGTGATACCATCCCCATCACCTTTACATGGGTAAAAATCACATTTAATATAAAAACAACCCAGAACTAGGAAAGGTCATAAAAGGCAATTGGAGGAGGCTGAGGAACCAAGGGATCAGTTTCTCCTTTTATTTGCCCAGAAGGGATATGGGTAAAAGAATCAAAGAATAACATGGCTGTTTTATACCCTGCCAGACTGCCTCTATGAAATCACTGGGTAAACTGACAGGATTGTTTTCATCTTCTTGAATCTCTTTTAAATTTTGTTTTAAGGTTTTTCTTTAAATATTGAGAAATATACAGAAAAATCAAAATCATACATAATTGTTACACCCAGTGCTAAACTTTGTTGAAATCATTATGAATATCCAACTAACCTTTTCTCTGTGTATATGCTACCTGTCCACATGTCTGTGATCTTTTTTAATATCTTTGTTCTTTGTATTATAAAAATAAATACATAATCTTTGAAAAATCATATAAATTTCTATTCACTATCAAAAATAGAAAGTTCATAATCCCACTTGTCTTAGTCATCTAGTGCTGCTATGACAGAAATACCACAAGTGGATGGCTTTAACAAAGAGAAATTTATTCTCTCACAGTCTAGTAGATTAGAAGCCCAAATTCAGGGCACCAGCTCTAGGGGAAGGCTTTCTCTCTCTGTCAGCTCTGGGAGAAGGTCCTTCTCATCAATCTTCCCTTGCTCTAGGAACTTCTCCATGCAGGAACCCTGGGTCCAAAGGGCACACTCTACTCCTGGTGCTACTTTCTTGGTGGTATGAGGTCCCCTGTCTCTCTGCTCGCTTCTCTCTTTTATATCTCAAAAGAGATTGGCTTAAATTGTAGATTAATCTTGTAGATTGAGTCTACATAACTGCCGCTGATCCCATCTCGTTAACATCATAGAGGCAGGATTTACAACACCTAGGAAAATCACATCAGATGACAAAATGGTGGACAATCACACAATACTGGGAATCATGACCTAGCCAAGTTGACAGATATTTTGGAGGGACACAATTCGATCCATGATACCACCCTACCAGAGATAATTTTTTTTAACAGTTTGGTATATTTTTCTAGATTTTTTTCCTTTGGATACATTTTTATATAGTCAAGGTCATACTCTACATATAATTTGATATCCTTGATTCCTCTTAATATTACATACAAATGTTGAATTTTATTAAAAGTTCATTTTAAACATTTGTATTTAATTCTTAATTGGAATTATTTTATTGTGGTAAAAAATATATATAACAAAATATTTGCCATTTTTTATCATTTTTTTACATGTATAATTCAGTGACATTGATTACATTCATCATTTTGTACAACCATCGCTATTATCTATTTCCAAATTTTTCATCACCCTTAACAGGAACTCAGTGCCCCTTAAGCAAAGACTCCTCTTTTTGTCTATGTATTTGCCAATTCTAGATATTTCATTTAAGTGGGATTATACAATATTTGTCCTTTTGCAACTGACTTAATATGGAGCCCTGGTGGCATGGTGGTTAAGAGCTTGGCTGCTAACCAAAAGGTTGGCAGTTCAAATCCACCAGCTGCTCCTTAGAAACCCTATGGGGCAGTTCTCCTCTGTCTTACAGGGTCGCTATGAGTCAGAATCGACTCTTTGGCAATGGGTTTGGTTTTGTTTCTGGTTTTTTATTTCACTTAGCATGATGTTTTCAGGCTTCATCCATGTTGTAACATCAGCACTTCGTTCTTTATGGCTGAATAATATTCCATTGTATGGATATGCCACATTTTGTTTATCCATTCATCTATTGATGGACATATGAGTTGTTTCTACCTTTTGTCTATTGTGAATAGTGCTACAATGAACATTGGTGTACAGGTATCTGAGTCTCTGTTTTCAGTTCTTTTGGGTATATACCTAGAAGTGGAATTGCTAGGTCATATGGTAATTCTATATTTTAATTGGATTTTGTCATAAAATCTTATTGGTTCTTTTCATCAGAAAATGAAAAAGTGATAAAGATTTTTGTCCATTTGTATTAAATTTGTTTCATTCCTTGATTAAGACTTTCAGGCTCTGGGTCCCTATTAATGTAAATGGCTTTGCTTTGTGATTGGCAAGGACACAACTGGAACCAACTGATTAAAGTAAAGCAGGATGATTGATAAGCCTCAGTCAATAAGCTTGTTGTTGTTGCATGCCATTGAGTTGATTCCTATTCCTGGTGACCCTATAGGACAGTATAGAACTGCCCTGTAGGGTTTCCTAGGCTGTAATCTTTATGGAAGCAGATGGCTTGGTCTTTTCTCTCACGGAGCCACTGGTAGGTTTGAACTGCTGACCTTTCTGTTAGCAGCTGAGCGCTTAACCATTGCGCCACCAGAGCTCCTTACTGATAAACTTAATCCCCTACATTAATTATGTGCACATGACTTGTATGCCTTCCTCCCCACAGCTTTATTCATACTGGACACACAGCAGACATTCCAGAAATATTTGTTGAATAAATACATGCCATTCCCTCAGCCTGAAAGTACCCCACACTGATACCATCATTTTGCTGTGGTAGCATTCGGTTATTTAAGTGCCACCTTCCTCCACAAAACGTTCCTACATTAAATGAAATAGTTTCTTTTTTCTTTTTAATTATAGAAGTTAATACATTCATAAAAATTCAAAATACAGAAAAATGCAAAAATCTCTTTTTATTATTTTCCCAATTGCTGTTTCCCTCCCTGATGTGTATCAATTTGCTGTGTCTTTCATAAAGATTACCTTTTTAACTGAACAGTGTATGGTGTGTGCTTGATAAATAGTATTATCTCACTTTTGAATATATAGTTATTACCGCCTATTAAGAAACTACCAGGTGGAGCCCTGGTGGCTCAGCGGTTAAGAGTCTGGCTGCTAACCAAAAGGTCGGCAGTTTGAACCCACCAGCCATTCAGTGGAAGAAAAGACCTGACAATCTGCTCCCATAAAGATTACAGCCGAAGAAAGCCTAGGGGGTAGTTCTACTCTGTCCTATAGGGTCACTATGAGTTGGAATCCACTCAACGGCACACAACAACAACATTGTTGTGAAAATATACACAAAAAACCATGCGCCAATTCAACAATTTCTACATGTATAATTCAGTGAGATTGATTACGTTTGTCATGTTGTGCAACCATTATCACTATCCTTTTCCAAATCATTCCACCGCCATTAACATAAACTGAATGCCCTCTAAGCAGAAACTCCTTCATTCTCTCTCCCTGCCCTCACCCCCGTAACCAGTAGTAATCTGTGGTTTCTATATATTTGCTTATGTCGTGTAAGTGAGGTCATATAGGATTTGCCCTTTTGCTACCTGAATTTTTAAAATATGTTTGTGTGGGCTTGTGAAGAGGGTATATATGTCTGCATCTCATATCCTAATTGCTTGCTTGCAGGTCTGGCTGGCTTTGCTCGTCTCTGTCCTGGAGATCAATATGAAGTAAGTGCTGTGTAGGTCTAGGTGATGGCATTGAGGACTTGAAAAGCCGGGCCAGTTGTCATTATTTTGCCTCTTAAACTCTCTATTTAAATTTTTTTTGAAAAACAATTTAAGCCAGTAAGAAAATTTTGAGATTGGTGCCAGACCTCCTTTCATCTAGATATACGCCTGGTTAACATTATGCCACATTTGCTTTATTATTATTATTAGCTGAACCATTTTAAAGTACAGATATTATGACCCTTTACCTCTAAATTCTTCTCCTAAGTATAGGAGGACATTTTCCTCATATAATCGTTGTACAGTTCTCAATACCAGAAAATTTAACATTGGCACTTTACCTAATGTCATCTAATAATACAGTCTATAGTCATTTTGCCAATTGTCCCAATATTGTACTTTATAGCAGGTTTTTTTTTTTTTCTGATCCAAGACCCAATCCAGGGTCATGACTAATCATAAGGATCATGACTGAAGAATAATGTCTGAATCTTTCTTTATAAAAAGTGCTCCAGAAAGTGAATGGAGTACATTTTCTCCCTTCCAAAGGGAACTTATATAATAATTTCATCTATCTTCTCTAAAACCCTCTATAATCATAACCTCTTGGGCGGGGGGGAAGGTATCTTTCCGTAAACATTATGGCTTTCTGACCACAGAGAGACTGTATAGCCTCTCCCCAGAGTATGTTGGATTGTCAAGTCCTTGTCCAGCTCCATCTTCCTCGTCCAGAGGGAGGATGTCTTATTTCTTGCTTCTGACTGCTAAGTATGTTTTTGCTGATGGTTTCTCATTTCTCTAAAGGAGTTGGGGAGTAGGGAGAATGAATCCCAATGGCTGTTCTATTGATGTAGAATTAACATAAGTGAGCAGAAGGGCACAGAGCAATGCCTTTTACTAAAGAAAACCCTCCACTCCCTCTGTCTTAGAAAAGCAGAACTTATTCCCTTTTAAGAGTTTCTTTCCCTCTCATCATTTGCCCCACCTTGCAGAACCCAGGAAGTTTGGAAGAATGGATAATATGGCTGTGGCGGGGTGGGGGGATGATGGAGAAGGGGAGGAGTAGCAGTTGCTTTATTTACTTGCCCTTTTGATCATGGTGTTTAGGTTGGGAAGATGGGTAAGGGCAGTGGAACATGAGGGCCCTTTGATGTCTTCTCCCCAGATTTTTATGAAGTATGGCCGACAGAGGTGGAAACTGAAAGGCAAAATAGAAGTCAATGGCAAACAGAGCTGGGATGGAGAAGAAATGGTTTTCCTGCCCTTGATAGTTGGGTTAATTTCCATCAAGGTAGAGTATTATCATTGTCTTGTTGTCTTTCCTGGTGCCATGGCTGGATAATGGTGCAGACCTTTACCCATAACTTCTGCCTGCTGCCCCTCCATCCCACAGACTTCTCTCTGCACTCCAAGTACACCACAAAGACAGCCACTCTTTGGCTGGGAGTGGGAGAAATAATGTAAGATGGGCTTTGGAAATATTCACTTCTGATTTCGGGTATGGGAGTCCCTGGGTAGTGCAATGGGTTAAAGCGCCTAGCTCCTAACTGAAAGGTTAGAGGTTCGAGTCCAACTAGAGGCACCTCAGAGGAAAAGCCTGGCAATCTATTTCTCAAAAATCAGCCATTGAAAACCCTATGGAGTGCAGTTCTACTCTGACACACATGGGTTTGCCATGAGTTGGAGTCAACTCGATAGCAGCTGGTCAACTGGATTTCAGATATGATTGCAACAACCCAACCAGCTAAGAAAAAGGAAAAGGATATCGTACTTTTCTCCTCTGCTGTCATGTAAAGCCTTTTTACCCTCTCTGCTAGGTCACAGAGCTCAAGGGACTGGCATCTCATATTCTGGTGGGCAGCGTGACCTGCGAGACCAAAGAGCTGTTTGCAGCCCGTCCTCAGGTGGTGGCTGTTGACATCAATGACCTTGGCACCATCAAACTGAACCTAGAAATCACCTGGTAGTAAGTTGCCCTTTCTAATTTCATCACTTAGAAATATTCGCTACAGGTTAGTACTATTCAAAGGGTGGTCCGTCTACCATTAGCATCACCTGGGAGCTTGTTGCAACATCTCAGGCCCCACCCCACATTCCCTGAGTCAGAGTGTCTCGGGGCAGGGCCCAAGGGCTGGTTAACAAGCTCATCAGGTGGTGCTCATGAATGCTGAAGTTGGAGAAGCTGTGTTACATCTCTACTCTCCCCCTGTACTTCCTCTTTAAAAACATTTTATTCTGCCTCCCTCCCTCCTTCTCTACCTCTGAATATATATAAATATGTCTCTCAAGTAGACTACTTGGGAAGAAAAGAACTGTCCAATATGAGATATTTTACCCTTCAAAAGATCCTGATTCTCTCTTTGGTGGTTGGTTTGTTTTTATGTTTTTAAAATTTTTATCATGGTGAAATATACATAACAAAACATTTGTTGGTTCAACCATTTTTACAGGTACAATTTAATGACATTACGTTCACCATGTCACTGTGGTGGTTTTTTGTTTGTGTGTGTGTGTGTGTGATAAATATATAGGTAAGAAAACATTTGTCATTTCAACAATCTTCACGTATGCAATTCAGTGACATTAATTATGCCCATCATGTTGTTCAGCCATCACTCTTAACTATTCCCCAATTTTTCCATCACCCTTAACGGAAGCTCAGTGTCCCCTAAGCATTGTGCACTGTGGTGTCTTAACTGTTTATCCCTCTTTACTCATATGCGTCACACAACTTGAGAAAAATTCTAAAATCCTTTTTCCTCCAAACTCTTTTTACTGAGACAGAATATTTGCGAAGGACGTCAAACCAGTTCGAACCAGTTCAGTCATGGCTGAGGAAGCGAAACCAGAACAGATCCAAATTTTTACAACTTGGGTGATCTGGAATGATAACTGGAATGGGAAAAATTACGGGTCAAAGCCCTGGAATGGGAGACTCAGTAGCCTGACGCGTGAGATTGGATTATTGCCAGGACTGAGGAGAGTGACACACACTCAAAGTGGTGCAGTTGGCCGCCATCTTTGAACGAGACACTGCTGTTTCCAACTCTGCTCGATAGCTTGTGGGCAAAAGATGTGGTTGCTATGCAACATGTATGCTGCCCTTGTTTTATAAGAGGGAGATTAGGTTTCTAGCAGGGCTTTGACCTGTAATTTTTCCTATTCCGGTTATTGTTTCGATCCACCCAAATTTTAAAAATTTGAGTTCTGTTCCAGTTTCACTTCCTCAGCCATGACTGAACTGGGAAGAATCAGTTCGAAGCCCTGCATTTTTCAAAGCAATGAACTTAAAAATTGGTTTTCTGAAGTCACCCCGTAAGAAAGGTCAGTTATTAAGTTACTAAGCACCAGTTACTCACAACATTTGATATTATGCCTCTGATATATTATGAAGTAAGCTATGTCCCTGGGAGTCCCTGGGTGGTGCAAATGGTTAATGCACTTGGCTGCTAACCTAAAGGTTGGAGTTTCAAGTCCACCCAGAGGCACCTTGGAAGAAAGGCCTGGTGATCTACCTCTGAAAAATCAGCCATTGAAAACCCTATGGAGCACAGTTTTACTTTGACACACATGGGGTCACCATGAATTGGAGTCAACTCCACAGCAACTGTTTTCTTTCATTTTTTTTTTTTTTAAAAAACCAGGGTCTCCATGTAGACAGGCATGGAAGTAGCAATGACCCTGTGACCTTGTCACTGAAATAGAGAAAGCGCCCTTTGCCCAGCCCTCCCTCCTCATAATCAAGATTATTCCTGCTGTTGGGTGAATTGGATAGTGCAACAATAAATGGTGTCATTGTGAACAATATGTTACTCTTGTCTCAATCACACAAGAGGCTCTGAAACAAATAGGATTCTATTTTTTAATGTTTTCTTTAGGACTGAACAAGAATCTATTAATCTATTGTATTGTTAAAGTGTCTATCTCTAGAAAGCTGGAAGAATTTTTATAGATTTTTTCCCCCAACAACATCTTGTTGTTGCAGGGCAAGCATTAATATGTTCATGTTTCTATTATATATGAGGAAACAGATACATCTAGGTGTACAGATGGCCAATAAGTTGTTTTTAAAGCTGGTATAGTAATCTGTGGTCTCTTGGCTGAGTTCAGACTCAGTCTTCTGCTCCATTTTCTTTTATCTTAGTTTATTTTCTGACAAACCAATTTGACCAGAAACAGTCCAGTTCCCAATGATTTGAGGTTAATTTTATGTAGTGAGTTGGCCTGTGGTCTGGTGATTATAGGTGATTTTAACAAATGGGTATCTATTGTCTTGCAGTCCATTTGATGTGGAGGACATGACCCCATCCTCAGGCACTGGAAACAAGGCGGCCGCCCTCCAGCGGAGAATGTCCATGTACAGCCAGGGCACCCCAGAAACGCCCACCTTCAAAGATCACTCCTTCCTTGTAAGTTCAGTGTGGTCTCTGGGGTTGATGATGAGCCTGAGCCAGTGCTTGCTCCCAGGATTTGAAATGCTCAATATGTGATGTTAGGTCATCTCAATAATTCCTAAATAATATTATTCTTAAAAATTCACTCTATTCCAGTAGTGACTAAGGAAACCACTTTCCAACATACCTCTCACCCAGGGATGGATTACCCAATAATCAAAGTATGCACGGGCTTGCTTGTGCTCACTTACAAATCTGTAGTGCACACTTTCACCTGGTTTTCACCACATCTTTGAAATTGTGCACTACAGATGTGGTGAAAACCAGGTGAAATATGCATTGCATATTAGTAAGTAAGCACAATTAAGCCTGTGCATATGTAGTGAAAACCAGGTGAAACTGTGCACTACAGATTAGTGAGTAAGCACAATTAAGCCCATGGGTACCTTGCTTACTGTAAACGGGTACATACCATGCTTACTGGTTAATCCACCCCTGCTCTCTCCATATATGTACAGGTGGTGAACCTCCTCTGTCTGTCCTCTCACCTTACCCGCTTCACCTGTTGATTTGATAATAACATGTAGACTTTTCTGAACATCCTCTAATATGTCTTTTAAAGAAGTTGATGTAAATAAATAAGGCCCTCCTTGTTTTAATCCAAAACATTTGCTTAAATGGTAACAAAACATAGTGACCTAATGCTTTCCACTAACTCCCTGATCTTGCTTTGACTTCTGAAGAAATGGTTGCGTCCCTCGCTAGACAAGCCAAGGTGGCTGTCTGTCTTGAGTGTCTTGCAAGACACTTTCCTTGCCAAGCTGCAACGCAGCCGCTCTTTCAGTGACCTGCCCTCCCTCCGGTTGCGCCCCATGGCTGTGCTAAAGTTTTATGTGAGTGGGGCCTGCACGGGTGTTAAGTGCTTGACTTCAGGGACTTGGGGCATGGACGCTTTGGCATGGCTCTTGTTTTATCTTCTCCTCTACTTGACTCATTGGGTCTGGGGAATGGTTACATCTGTCCTGTTCTTGGGCAGGAAACGTGGCTGTGCATGCAGCTCTGTAAGATAAGCCATTTGTCCTTTGTGCTGTGATTTTTCTCCACTGTGGCAAAGATGTCCATGGTAGCGAAATTTCCATTTTCAAAAATTACAATGAGCATTAAGGTCAAAGGAGATTGTATTTCAGAAATTAAACAAGTTGACCATTAGTGTTGGCCTGCATGCACCATTTTAGTGTTCAAAAACTGGCCTTCAAGGAACTCATAAGGATTTAAACAAAGCTTACTAAAGCTGTTTTTATTTAAAGAGGCTCTTAGTCTTAGTTTGTTGTAGTACTTGTTAATTTATTACGTTAGTAAAAGAAACCCTTTCATTTGGAGCATGAACGCAATAGGTAACTTTCATTACATGGGTTATGCATTACATTATGAGAGTATGTATGTGTATGCACACACATACAGATATCTATTAATACATATGTAATATTTTGCTTTTAAAAAAGATAATAAAAGTAATCTTTGAATGTCCAGAGAGGAAAGGATTACAAGTTTTCTGGTTAATAATAATAATTGCATCTTATTCATTGAGTTTAAAGAGAAAAAAAACACACACACAGATGAAAAGGAAGGACCAGGCTAAACTCTACTAATAAGAATTTCAAAGGAGAAAATGGGAAGGATATAGGGGAGGAAAGCATGAAAACATATATCAAAAAAAATATATATATATATATATACATATATATATATGTAGCTAATACAATTGTGTACATAATGTCTAATGTGTATTTTCATACTCAGGTGCTTCAGATAGGGGGCTGGGGTGGGCAGGGATTGGTAGAGGTTTTAATAGCATAATTTAAACAAGAGCAAGATTAGAAAACACGTAATGGCTTCCTAATGCCTTTTGGATAAACACAAAGGCCCTCAGAGCAGCGATTCTGATCTAGACACAGCCCATGTCTCCAAGCCTTTCTCTCACTCTCTACTCTTTATCCTCTGGTTGATTCACTTGGAACTATCCACGATCCTCCAAATGCACCACAAGCTTTCAGGATCTCAACCCTTTGCACACACCATTCTTTCTATCTGGAATGTGCTTCGTTCTCCTCCTGTCCTTCCCCTCACCATTCTCCAAGGCTGAGTTCTAGTGCCATCCCTTTCTCTGGCAGTGGCCTCCCCTTGCTGGGGCTTTCACCTCATTCTGTTCATACTCAGCTATAGACGGCATTGCATTGTACTGTCATGTGTCTGTGTGTATAGGCTTGTCTCCTTGTTAGACAGTAAGTCCCCTTGGGCGGGCTATCTCAACTTACTCTATCTCAGTATTTGCCACTTAAGTTAGTGCAGACCAGATTTGGGAAATATGGGACTCAAGAGAGATGACTGAGGAAGACTTCAGAATTTGAATAACAATCTTGACTTCCCAGTCCTCCTGCCATAGCCTGTGCCTTCCACCTCCCCCAGAGCCTCCAAGAGATATGTGGACAGATGTGTGGACAGTGGCTGGGCTGGACCACTTGGCAGACCAGAGAGAGGGTTCTGTGAGACCCCCATGGAGGAGGTTTGGGAGTAGGACTCCAGGCCTCCCCACATCCCTCTCCCCAAAGCTCCCCCTTTTATCTTTCCTAGAAACGTAAAATGTATTATGGGGGGTGGGGGAGGGTACTAACAGAGGAGAGAGGAAACAAACACGGAGTTGCTTGGCTGGGGAGTCCTTGGGTGGTGCAAACGGTTAATGCACTCAGTTGCAAACCGAAAGGTTGCCAGTTTGAGTCCATCCAGAGCCACTTTAAAAGAAAGGCTGGTGATCTACTTCCAAAAAATCAGCCATTGAAAACCCTGTGGAGCACAGTTCTACTCTGACACACGTGGGGCCGCCATGAGTCGGAATCAACTCCACTGCAACCAGTTTTCTCAGCTGGAGAGGGAGGAGAGGAGGGCTGGAACCCAGCCCTCTCTGCAGTTCCTGAGGAGGGTCCATGGAACTCCTTCCTCTGCCGGGGGGTGGTACCCCCCGGACTTCATGGGGTGCAGCTTGACAATCACCAGAAGAGCAAAACACTTTTTTAAAGGTGAAGAAACGGCACCTGTAGAGGTTACTTGTGTATCCCAGAGACATGCCTTTTTACTCATCCTATATTTAAAGTGACCACCTTACCAAACCGACTGAGTGGACAGTTTGGTTTGAACTAGCTGCACGTGTTGGGATCTAGTGACCTCAGATACAGCAAGGATGGGGCCTGAACAACTGCCCAGAGGAGGACAGGAACCCTTGCCTTTCTGTGTGCTGCCCATTTAACTTGCTGTGCTTTTTGTTTGCTGGGCTTATTCCCAACGCCATTGTGACAATTCATTGTTTGATACATAGTTGGAATAGGTATTAGCTTGGTACTTACCACTGCCTTTAAAAATCTAATCAGAAATCCAAGGAAAATGACCCATCTTGAAGCAGTTCATCTCAAATAACTAGAAAATATTTCCCACAAAGCAACATTTGACACTTAAAGACTATACACAGACCATAGCATAAGGATGACTTAAGGACTGTTGTAATGCCTGCACAAGCTAATGATCTTAGTCACCTGGATATTTCTGGCCTCTCTCTTCAGAGTTCTGCTTTATGAAGCACAAGTGTACCTGTGAAACAGCCTGGGTCTGCCAGATAGAGAACTTGGTTTCTCTACACCCTGGGAGCCCTGGGGTCTGCATTCCTGGGAGATCAGTGTTCCACTTCTTAGTATTTTTCTTCTGTTTTTATAGAAGCTATGCAAATGTAATGCTGGCCTTGAATTATTTATGGCATGGTTACTAAATTAATAAAATATTGTCAAGATCTTGGGGTTTATGGGTAGAGATTTTTAAACAATAATTTATGAGAACTGAAGCAGTACTGAAGCATCACATCTTTGGCGTGAAATAACATGAATGTTGAAAAGTCTTTTAAGACAGAAGCCAAAAAAATTCAGTGGCGTTATTCATAACTATGACTGCCAAATACAGCGAGATCCTAAGATTTAGGAAACAGGCACTTCCCGCTACCCTCCTTGGCTACCTTTTATTTTGAAAAATGTCAAACCTGTACACAGGTTGAAAGAATAATACCACGAACTTGAACTTGGATTCAACAGTGGAAAAAGAATTTTTTTTACCTTTTTTTTCTAATTGTACTTTAGATGAAGGTTTACATAACAAACTAGCTTCTCATTGAACAGTTAGTACATATTTTTTTTATGACTTTGGTTAACAACCCCATGACATGTTGGTACTGTCTCTTCTCAACCTTGGGTTCCCTATTACCAGCTTTCCTGTGCCCTCCTGCCTTCTAGTCCTTGCCCCTGGGCTAGTGTGCCCCTTTAGTCTCATTTTGTCCTATGGGTGTGTCTAATCTTTGGCTAAAAGGTGACCTTCCAGAGTGACTTCCTTACTGAGCTGTAAAGGTGTCCATGGGCCATACTCATAGGGTTTCTTCAGTCTCAGTCAGGCCAGTAAGTCTGGTCTTTTTTTAAGTTAGAATTTTGTTCTACATTTTTCTCCAGCTCTATCCAGAACCCTCTATTGTGATCTCTGTCAAAGTAGTCAGTGGTAGTAGCCAGGCACCATCTAGTTGTACTGGACTCAGCCTGGTGGAGGCCGTGGTAGTTGTGGTCTATTAGTCCTTTGGACTAATCTTTCCCTTGTGTCTTTAGTTTTCTTCATTTTCCCTTGCTCCTGAAGGGGTGAGACCAGTGGAGTATCTTATCTTAGATGGCCACTCACAAGCTTTTAAGACCCCAGACGCTACTCACCAAAGTAGAATGTAGAACATTTTCTTTATAAACTGTTATGCCAGTTGAGCTAGATATGTGGAAACAAGATTTTTAATGACGTGTTTTCTTTTGTCTCTCTCTCTCTCACACACACACGCATATCAACAAATAACATGTTAATATTATAAAAATTCTTTTTTAAAAAATTTTAATTGCTTTACATTTTGTCTGGAAATAGACCATGTCAAATGCATTATTTTCATTTAACATAATAATGAGGTGTCTTTTATCCACAGTCTAATCTACCGGATGACATCTTTGAGAATGGAAAGGCAGCTGAGGAGAAAATGCCACTATCCCTCAGCTTCAACGACCTGCCCAATGGAGACTGTGCCCTGCCCTCCAACTCGGCTGGCTCTCCCTCCAAGACATGCCTAACAAATCCAGAAATTACTATCACACCTGCAGAGCTGAACCACAGCAGCCTGTCCTCACAGAATGAGGGCACAGATGACACTAGCTCAGCATCTTCCAGAAGCTCCTCGGCAGAAGGCCAAGAGCCGAAGTCACACGTGGAGGAACACACAGAGCATAAGAAAACTGCCTTGGCTGCGTCTGAGGCCTGCCAACAGTCCGCAGGTGCTGGGGCCAACCGCCTGTTCCTGGAAAATAACGTTGCTGAGGCTCTTCTGCAAGCATCCGATGAGGCCTCTGAACTCAAGCCTGTGGAACTGGACACTTTTGAAGGCAACATCACAAAGCAGCTGGTCAAGAGACTGACTTCCACAGAGGTGCCGGTGGTCACAGAGAGGCTGCTCTTTGAAGGCTCTGTCAGTGGGGAATCCGAAGGCTGTAGATACTTTCTAGATGGAAGCTTAGAGGATGCCTTTAGTGGGCTTTTCCTTGCATTAGAGCCACATAAAGAGCAGTATAAAGAATTTCGGAATCTGAACCAAGAAGTCATTCATCTGGATGATATTCTGAAAGTGAGTACCTTTTTTAGGGAAATTGGATTAGGCTTGGAGGGAGATGTCCAAACCAATATTCTATTTAAGTTAGCATATCTTTATTTTTATCCTGTCCCATCACAGGGTCATTAGGTGATAGATCATTTAAAAGCCATTGATTTTTAATGTCAGTAGTGCATATTAATTTTCATGTTCCTGATAGGAAATCAACTTAGCTAAAATAATTAGGAGTTAAATTAATAGCTCTAAAGAATGTCTCAGGAGCTCTGGTGGCTCAGTGGTAAAGCACTCGCCTGCTAACCGAAAGGTTGGTGATTTGAATCTACCAGCGGCTCTGCAGGAGAAAGATGTGGCAGTCTGTTTCTATAAATATTACAGCCTAGGAAACCCTATGTAGCAGTTCTACCCTGTCCTATAGGGTTGCTATGAGTCAGAGTCAACTTGACAGCACACAACAACAACAACAAATAATGTCTACACTCCTTCAGTCCAGAGTTAATGATTCTATTTCCAAATGTGAAATGGTAGCATTTTGATCATCATAATATCACTGAGATGTTCCTGGACAGGGTCCCTCTCTGGGAGTCTCGGGAAAGTTGGGAACAGGGGTCCCTGATTGGAGTCAGAGTTAGCCAGCCCCCATGTGAGAGCCATGAGTGCCCTTCTGCCCACAGCACTGCCTGCAGGAGTCCCATCTCCTGAACTTGGCCCAAACCAGCATGTCAGAGCTCAGGTTCATCATGAGGGAATAATCATCAGCCATAGGTGAGAAGTCAGGGAGCCCCAGACTCCACCAGAGGTTTCTTCCTCAATCCATGGCGTTCAGGGCAGCCCAGGGTAGAAGGGGTTGGGGAGCGGGGGAAGACAGGAGTGAGGAGGGATGATTTTCTTCTCATGTGGAGGCCCTATGAGATCACTGTTTCTCCATCAGAAAGTATCTGCCTCCACCTACTCACAGACTGAGTTGTAATAACACCCCACAAGAAGACAAAACTTGAATTTGTGTCTTAAATCCCACTGCCACATCTTGTATTCATTGCTTTGCCACTCTGATTTGTATTGCTCACTAGAGGAGAACTCAGCTCCTTTTCTTGAAGGAGCAATTCTTTGGGGACCTGTTCTATAAAATATGCTTGGAAGTAGTGTTACAGTGGCAAACCAAAAATCAACCCATGAGAAAATCAACCCCTTTGAATGGCTGTTTTAAGATGTGGCCTTCCCTACGGCGTCTGGAACTACCTTTCCGAGACTTTTCTGACAATCCTATCCCTCTCTATTCAGTCATACTAAGACCTAGGATTTGTGTCTAGGCAGATGGTAACTCTTGCTTAGACTCTCCGGATCCTGTAATGCTCATGACAGAAGAGTTCAGCTGTAGGTATCGCCTCTGAGAAGCAGCGAAGGGCACTCTGGATGCTTCCTGCAAAGCAGAACTTAAAAGCATCCACTTGCATTAGAGCCACATAAAGAGCAGTTTAAAGACTTTTAGAATCTGAACCAAGAAGTCATGCATGTGTGGAGGCTGCTTGTCTGGTACTCCAATGAAAGCATCTTTTCTCCCCTCGACAAGCTCTTGTCTATTCCACACAGTCATCTGGCTCTGTTTCTTGTGCAAAACGTCTTCATTTCAAAGAGCTGAGATACCAACTGACCCCACCTAAAGCAAATGCCTTAAAGAAAGCCAGTGGGGCTGGCAACTCTATTTCCAGGCATCCCTGGTGGTGCAAATAGTTTAAGTGCTCAACTGCTAACCGAAAAGTTGCAGTTCGAATCCACCCAGTTGCTCCATGGGAGAAAGACCTGGCAATCTGCTTCCATCAAGATCACAGCCCAGAAAACCCAATGGGGCAGTTCTACTCTGTCAAATGGGGTTGCTAGAGTTAAAACTGTTGACTTGACAGCACCAAACAACAACAACATGGTGCTGGTATGTGGCTCCATCTACCAGGAAACACTAAGCGAGTCATCTGTTCATCTCATATAAACCCTGATGGTCACAGATTTCTTTCCAGAGTGGTTTTTTTTTCGGTCTGTTGTTACTCCAAAACTATCCTGCCACTCAAATCCTCAGTGGGACCTCTCTTTGTTATGATTGATATTTAAACACATTCATACTGTACAAGAACAAGTTCTGCAGACAGCTAGCTTAGGATAAAAAAAAAAGTTGCCGTTGAGTCGATTCCGGCTCATAGCCACCCTATCTATATAGACATACCTAAAAGCGGGTTGGGAATGGTGCAAACAGTCAAACGCTCAGCTGCTAACTAAAAGATTGGTGGTTTGAGTTTACCCAAAGGTGCCTCAGACAAAAGACCTGGCAATCTACTTCCAAAAAATCATCCATTGAAAACCCTGTGGAGCACACTGTGACACACGTGCAGTCGCTATGAGTCGAAGTTGACTTGACAGCAACTAGTTTTTTTCTTTAGAAGTGAGTTGAGTCTGGCCTGGCTCCTTCTCTCCCCTGAGATTTAAAACATTATCAGAATTTAGATCTGGGGCAAGTGGCTTTGTATCCAGCCAGAATTAAAGCATCAGCTGGACAAAGCTTTCTCTTTTTTTCCTCCTTCACATTCCTAGGATAATAAACATCTTGAGGATCAGAAACTAATTGATGCTGCCTCCTGGACGGAGATCACTGAGGGTGAATGAAACAGCTGTGCTTTAAAAGAATGAAAGACGTTTTCCCATGTGCTTTTGTGCGATCTTGAGTGTCAGAGACAGAGCCCAGCAAGGCCCTTCCCATCTTGTGTTAAGAAATCAGCAAGCAGTGCCACCTGACTGGATGGAGGACATTTTAGTTCTTTTTCCTTGCAGGACTTGTCTCGTTCAATCTGCCCCAGCATCCTCTTGAATATTTGGAAGTACTTCTCTCTGTTATTGTTGCCCCTAACAACTGGCATTATTCTATTTGTAATGTTTCTGTTTGTGACGAGCAATATAGAATTCTCTGGGTCGTATAATGGGTTTGCTCACATAATTGCAGGGCCCGGTCAGGGAAGGAATAGGACTTGTTCCTCCAAAGGCAGAGCCCTTGAGGAAGCAGGGCTACTCTGTCTTATGCTCATGCCACTCATTTTTTTCTCATTTCTGAAGAAAAATGATATGCAGAGAATGTAAAATTCAGATTTAAGGCTTCTTACCTAGGAAGCGTGAGCTAGGAGAATTTGAGCAGTTTTTTGTTTCTGGGATTTATTCCATTACTCCTTTAGAATAAGTGCCTTAGATGGCTAGCTCCTATTTCAGGACACTGAGGACATTGCCACTTGGAATTAGATATTGGTTAGTATCTGGCATTGACTCAGTGAGTCTCTTAAAATTTGTCTGCTTGTTATATTTTATTTGGGGTTGAGCACCGGGTGAAGGGAATGTAGCAGTTATGTTTCTCAAGGCTTTCTGGTTGTAATATCTAACTTTTGATATGGAAAGTTTCAAACAGAGGTAGAGAGAATCATGTAATGGATCCCAGTGTGCCCACCTACCAGTTTCCAGAGTTATCAACTCATGGCCAATCTTGTTTTCATCTCTTCTTCTACCTGCTTACTTCCTTCTGGATTACTTTGGAACAAATCCCAGATATTGTGTCATTTTATCTACAGTTGTACCTCTTTTTTTTTTTTTACTATGAAGATTTTACATGCATTAAAAAGTACCAACAAAAAAATAAAAACATGAAAAAAAGAACTGAAAGCATTTGCATCTCAAATCAGGTGTCGTGTGTTCTGTTTCTCCTTTCGAATGTGTTGATGTTTTCCTTGGTGCCTTCTGCCTTTGCAGTGCAAGCCACCAGTAAGCCGCAGCAGGTCTTCCAGTTTAAGTCTTACAGTTGAAAGTGCTTTAGAAAGCTTTGATTTCCTGAACACCTCTGATTTTGATGAGGAGGAGGAGGATGGTGAGGAGGTTTGTATTGTTGGAGGAGGTGCTGACTCAGTATTTTCAGACACTGAGACTGAGAAAAATAGGTAAGTCTGAAGTTAATATCTGCTTATATTTCTCCTGTTATAGATGAAACAGTAGTTCTTTGCTCCTATCAGAGGGAACCTGATGCACATCTCTAAAAAGATAAAACTCCCATACAAATGGCCAGTTGGCTTACAGTTCCTTTTTATTATTGAGTACAGCTTTTAAATATTGTCCACCTCTCTGGGTTGTTTTAAGGGGAAATTGTTTTGTTTTGTTTGTCTTATAAATGGAGGGGAAATTTTTGTGTATGTGTGTGTATATGTACATGTTTTCTTAATAGGGTTCAGTGTCTACAACTTGGCCCCAAAGTAATTAATTCCAAATTAACTAGAGAGACTATGTTTCCGGAGAACTCTTACTTGATGAAATATTTGGACCTGGTTCTCCTTGATTTGGATCTTACTGCTAATGCCTTTGTATTGTTGTGCTTTGTTTTTCCCCCATCTCTTTATATGTCTCTTGGTTCCCTTGAGCCAAATGAGTGTTTGCAGTAGATTAAGCTCATCAATGCATATATCAAAGCCAGGTTCAAGCACCATGGCCCATATTTTCCTTAGAATGGAAGAAGGATGACTGAGAACTGATGAGTACCATTCTATTGCAGCTCCCTAGGTGGACAATGTGGCCTTCTCTGTAGTGAGGGGTGGATAAAGGCAAAACATTGTCACCCTCTTCACAAGGCTTCCTTCTCTAGCCAAACCATGTTTTTAGAGCTAGAGCCTGCAGTCTATCTTGTAACTTCAGGTGAAGCAGAATAAGCGCAATGGGAACATACTCACCCTCAACAATTGCTGCAAAAGAGTACACATTCACTTTCCCAGAGGAAGGAGTAGTTTACCATTCATCTTTACTTTTGGCACAACATGATCTAAACAGGTTTACAAGTTACAACAAGCTATGGCTATTCAGCCTTCACAGACCTCTTTGTGGGAGGTTTTAATGTTTTGGGGTTTTATTGTTCCTTGAGGGTTTCTTTTTCCAAAATGAAACAAGGAAAAGCATGTGAAATAGATTTTATCCCTTGAGCAAACTGGAGGCATAGCAAGAAGAAACTTATTAAATAAATGTAATGTTTAAGTTACACTTTTACATTCTACGGAGTCCTTGTGTGGTATAAACAGTTAAGTGCTCAGCCACTAACTGAAAAGTTGACAGTTCTAGTCCACCCAGAGGTGTCTTGGAAGGCTGGCTTGGCGATCTATTTCCAAAAGATCAGCCATTGAAAACTCTGTGGAGCACAGTTCTGCTCAGACACACATGGGGCCACCATGAGTCAAAGGCAACCCAACAGCAACTGGTTTTTACATTATGCACTGAGAATATTCTTCTAGCTTGCCTATATTTTTGAAAGGGTGCTTAACCAAATATTTTTCTATATACTTTATCTTATTAACTTAAGCTGTTACATGATATATCAAGGTCAGGCATCAATCTAAACTTTTTTCTTCTGGTTATAAGAAGCATTTTAGTAACAAAAACATTACAACTTTTATATATTTTACAGAACATTGACAATAAATATGTTTAATTTGATCACTTTTACTGTATTTCATCAGAGGTATTAGGGAAGATTACGTGTGTGTGCATGTGTGTGTGCGTCCACGCGTGTGTTTCTGCCTTTTAAATACTTGTTGACTGCCAGGACACAAGCTGAGTGCTTTCCCCTTGGAGGCAATTGTGAATCAGAAAAAAAACATTCAAAATCACTAAGCTCTGAAGCATGATCTTTTTAAATAGTGGAGACTCGTGAGTGTGAGATTAGAAGTCAGAAGGGGCCCTGTCACTGACTAACTGTGAACCAGGATAACATCCCTGTTAGTCAGCCCTTCCATGTGTGAAATATTCTACTAATACTTATTTCCCTAGCACAGAGATTCATTTTAAGAATAAAATTAAATAATAGGTACATCAGATTTTTTTTAATGTAAGTGCCCTGTAAAATCCGCATATTATCATGATATATCTTTAGACACTGCAACCCGTTGCTGTCAAGTCTCTTCCAAATCATAGAGACCTTCTAGGACAGAGTAGAATTTCCCCATAGGGTTTTCAGGCAGTACAATAGTGGGGTTTAAACAAAGCGTGAAAGGCAGAACTAAGCGAGGCCTCTAAATATTCAAACTCCCCTTTTAACCTTTGTTCAGATTAGAACATCATGTCTCTCTTCTTGGCGGCTTTTCTTTTTCCTATTCTTCAAGTAGCAATCGATCTGAGGCCAGGAAAAGGCCTTGACAGATTATTTCTTAATGGTATTGCTCTTGGAAAACTACAAGTACAGGGGACAGTTTAATCCCAGAAAATTTGGCAAATTACCCTGTCAACAGGGCAGGAAAGTGCAACAAGTGAAAAGCGAGGGCATCTTTCAAAGACTTCTTGGTAAGACCACCTCACAAATGGTTCATTGTGCTTGAGAAGCAAACAGAGAACTCGGGAAGCAATTTGTTTGCATGGTCTTTTAACATGAGGCAATTTGACAGCTGTGCTGAATTAAAAAGTAGCTTTTGAAAGGTGTCTCACTTTTTGAAGGTAGACCCTATTTTCATTTAGGGTGTACAGGAGCCACATTGAGTTGACCTGTGGTTTCTATACAGAAAGAAATAACTACATAATACTTCACCCACCTTCCTGCTTCCACAGTTACAGGTCAGTACATCCGGAAGCCAGGGGGCATCTTAGCGAAGCACTGACTGAAGACACAGGAGTTGGGACCAGTGTGGCAGGAAGCCCTCTCCCACTGACCACGGGAAATGAAAGCCTTGACATCACCATCGTTAGGCACCTACAGTATTGCACCCAACTTGTTCAGGTAGGATTGGTGACTGCTTTTGTTTTTTAAATCCCAGGTTGTCTCCGTACAAGTGTTCTTCCTTTTTTAGTATAGCCAGTGAAATAAGAATTCGGGAGAATGGTTGCATAACTAGAAGAAAGTAATCAATGTCGCTGAATTGTACATATAGAAATTGTTGAATTAGTGTATGTTTTACTGTGTATATTTTCAACAACACCAAAAAAAATCAAATACATTCTTTAAAAAAAGAAATGCACGTAAATAAATAAAAATAATATTATAAAAAACAAAAAGAAGAAGAAGAAATGAGAATTCAGGAGTAAGAGAACAGTCTTGCTTTTATATGAGTCAAGTCAAAAACTAATGGGAGTTCCCACCTTGCTCAGCCCTGGGTTTTCCATCTTAAAACCTAGATCACCAGATCTTAAAAGGTAGTAGGAAAAAATAGTTGAATTTTAGGGGAAAAGAAAAGTATCAGGTGGAATATTATTAGTTCTTGCTTTGAAATCATTTAGTAGTAAATAAGAGTAGTATGGGTTTTTTTCAAGACAAGGTCTTTGCATTCTGCCATCTACAAATTGTGCTTGAAAACCAGTATTACTGAACCTATGTTAATATGAATGTGTCACATGAGTGAGTTAATTTTCCACCAACTAGATAGCTAAAGCAAAGTGTTAAAGAATCTACATAAGGTTTCCTAGATCTAGAATAAGTATTTCTCTTTAGCAATGGGAATACATACTTCTGTAGGCCATTATAACCAGTTAGCTATCATTATGGGACACATAGAGCTTATTTTTCTTCTCAAGTTGCTTACCACTTAAGGTTTTGCAACACTGCAGCAAATATTTTGAAATTCTTTTCCTGCAAGAAGGGTTTCAGCTGCCTTGAACAAAGTGTTTTCCCCAAGCATCTACTTAAATACTTCTTCCTTACCTAGTTGCTTGTCTTCTCCCAATCTTGCTCTTTCTTCTCCCAATTTGCCTCTGCATGTGTGAGGAACGAGACAAGAATGTGGAAGCAAATGTAATAATGGTTTCAGGGGGATGATCCAGGCAGGAACAGTGCACAAAGAGGAAGCATTTTAGCTATTCCTTAAAAAGTTGAACATAGAACTACCATATGAACCAATAATCCCAAACCCAGTTATATGCCTAGAAGAAGTGAAAGCAGGAATGCAAACAGAAACCTGTACATTAATGTTCATTGTAGCACTTTTCACAATAGCCAAAGGGTGGAAACAACCAAAATGTCCACCAATGGATGAATGGATAAGCAAAATGTGGTACATACACACAATAGAACATTATGCAGCCGTAAAGAGAAATGAAATCCTAATGCATGCCACAATGTGGATGAACCTTGAGTACATTATGCTGAGGGAAATTAGTCACAAAGGGACAAATGCTGTATGATCTTACTTATAGGAAATAAGCAAATTTATGGAAACCAAAGATAATTCATGGTCACCAGGGGTGGGAGTAAGGGAAAAAGGGGGAGTTTTTGTTTGGGGGACATTGAGTTTATGTTAATGGTGGTGGAATGTTTTGGATGAGGATAGCGATAATGGTGGCACAACATGAAAAATGTAAACAATGTCATTGAGTTGTACATGTGGAAGTTGTGTTGGCACATATTTTGGTGTGTATGTTTTTGCCACAATGAAAAAGAAAGGAGTAGGGGGAAGAGGAAGAATTATGCTCCTCAAAGTTGTCCTAGAGCACAGGACCAACTGGGAGACAAGAGGCAGGGTGAGGAGGCGGGGTCCCCAGGAGGCCAGTAACACACTGGCAATGAGATATAAAGGAATATGCTTTTTCTTTACAAGTAAATAACCTCCAAGTAGCTTCCAACAACTTATGTACTGTGGGAAGTTGGTTGATAATTATGACTCTTGCCATTTGGTTGGCCAACTCCTCAGTTGATCTCTTTTGTTGAGTTTTTAATTTACAAACCATGATACCAACAACTAATCTCTTGAAAGGTGCAATTTTTTTTTTTTTTTACTGGCCAAAATGGACAAGGATTTTTATTTACTTATAGCTGTTCTATACTTGGGATAGTGGTGGTTCAGTAGTAGATTTCTCGCCTTCCACACAGGAGACCTAGGTTCAATTCCCAGCCACTGCATCTCAAATGCAGCCACCACCCATCCGTCAGTGGAAGCTTGCATGTTGCTGTGATGCTGAACAGGTTTCAGCAGAGCTTCCAGGCTAAGACAGACCAGGAAAGAAGTCCTGGCAATGTATTTCCAAAAAGTCTGTCTGATCCCATTGTACATGGGGTCGTCATGAGTCAGGGACCTACTAGATGGCAGCTAACATTAACAACATTCTATATTCACTGATCATTTTAATGAGCCTGATACTGTGCTCAGCAAACCACCTATTTACCTTTTAGAGGTAAAGTAGTTATTTTGTGAGACTTGAGAGAATTCTCGTCCATGAAGGCATGAAAGTTTTCTCCCAAAGATTGTCATTCCATGTTCAGTGCAATGTTCTCCCTATAATAAGGTCGTGATTATAATACATCAACTCTTCAGTGAAAAACCAGTGCTAGAAAAACAAAAGAGGGTGTAAAGATGTGGAATGAAGGAGTGGGGCTTGGAACCTGAGTTCTAACTTGTACCCACTCCCGATCAGTGCACTGATGCATTCATTTGGTGTATAATTGCAGAGAGATAAATATGGGCAGTCCATAAGAATCATAATAGCTGTAATAATTTTTGAAATGAAGTAGTACATTACTACTATATTTACTTACCTGAGAGGCATTAACTGGTACATAATAATTGCTACACACACTTTTGAATTTGACAATCCCATTTTAGTGTCCAAATGCTTTAAACAGTATAACATGGTAGTGTATAATACAGGTGGTAGTCCACCACCCGTCTGTCATGAGTTTGCCATACTTTGGTGGCTTGCGTGTTGCTATGATGCTGGAAGCTATGTCACCAGTATTTCAAACACCAACAGGGTCACCCATGGTGGAAGGGTTTCAGCGGAGCTTCCAGACTAAAACAGACTAGGAAGAAAAGCTTGATAATCTATTTCTGAAAACTTACCAATGAAAACCTTATGGATCACAACGGAAGCCTGTCCGATATAGTGCTGGAAGATAAGCCCCATAGGCTGGTAGGCCCTCAATGTACACAATGGCCTCAACAATGGACTTGAGTATACCAAGGATCATGAAGATGGCACAGGACTGGGCAATGTTTTGTTCTGTTGTATGTGGGGTCACAATGAATTGAAGCTGACTTGATGGCAACTAACAACAACAAAGGCAAAGTAGTACAGAGTCTGCGTCCTGCATCCATGCCTACCAGGTGACAGGGGCAGGTCTCTGAGAGACACAGAAGGAGTATAACGTTTAGTCAGCAAGTGACTTATGTTCTTTCCTCTTTCAGGATCCCCTCAGTCTCATGACCAGCATACAAGTGAAACCACTTTCTACTAATGTGACATTACTTAACCTCTTGGTGCTTCAGTTTCCTCATCAGAACCAACCTCATTAGGTTGTTGTGAGAAGTTACATGAGCTAACACATGTAAAGGGCTCAGACCAATGCCTGGTACATAGCAAATACACGTTAATTATAATGAGGTAGCTCTGATTATAATTATTATACAGCAGGCTCTTAATTTTCAGCTTGAATACAAGGAAATAAAGCCATGCTGTGAAAAATTACTGCACTTGTAAAAAAATCTTTTTTTTTCCTGCTTACACACCGAAACACAGTTTAAATATGCCCTCCAGGTTTCAGAGAGGAAGATCAGATTTACAGTACACAAAAGGAAAGGCAGTTTTACAACGAACTTACAGCTCTAACTACTGAGAAAATTCCAGAATTTGTATAGGCATGAAGAACATTTAAAGCACAAAAACTTGTCTGATTTCATCAGATGTAACTGGCATGGAATGAGGAACGTTATCAAACACGAACAAAAACATTGTGGGAGTTTATTTTGCATCGCCACCACATTTGAGGAAGGATGAGGCTGGATGGGAAAAGTGGTTTGAGTTCCACTGACAACAACATAATTGAAATTGTGGTTTTGTTTATTTTATTAGCAAATTGTATTTTCAAGCAAAACTCCATTTGTCACGAGAAATCTCCTAGAGAAGCTTTCTAGGCAGATCCAAGTAATGGAGAAACTCGCAGCTGTCAGTGATGAGAACATAGGAAACATCGGTTCTGTCATCGAAGGTAAGCATCAGATGCAAACCCTATCGCCATTCATGCAAATGATGACACAGCTAGCCCACCCCCCTGCCTGCGTCTGTTCATTGTTTTATCAGGACAGCAGAGAAACATTCTGAGCTATGGAATAGGGCGTGGTGGTCTCATGAACACCATGTTCCAGCCTTCTGAGTCAACCATTGGAGACAAGGTTGTGTCTATAGAAACCTCCAGAAGTCAGATACTAAGGTATGGAGAGAAACAGCAAACACCTCGTAGGCAGAGTTTCACAGACTGCTGATGCACCTCCATTTATGGACAAATGATCAGAACTGGTCTCACTCATGGCGCTAGCTAAGACAACTCCCATAACAGTTGACTGTCTAATGGAAGATATTTCAAAACCCTACTAGGAAAAGGTAGAAATATGTGAACTTGAAGGCCTATAGAAGAGCCCTAGTTCTGAGAGTTTTCGAAACAAACTTGACATTGGGAAGATGTCTTTGAATTTGTGTGGTCTGGCTACGGGGCTCTTTTGTAAAGACAAGAATTTATGTCTTAAAAAAACAAAAAACCCAATGCCTCCACCAGACTGAGTCCAGTACAGCTACCACCACTGACTGCTCTGACCGGGATCACAACAGAGGGTTCTGGACAGAGCTGGAGAAGGATGCAGAACAAAATTCTAACACACACAAAAAAGACCAGATTTACTGGCCTGAAAGAGACTGGAGAAACCTCGAGTGTATGGCCCCCAGACACCCTTTTAGCTCAGTGGTGAAGTCACTTCCGAGGTTCACCATTCAGCTGGGGATTGGACAGCCCCATAAAACAAAATGGGACTAATGAGGCACAGCAGTCCAGGGACAAGCACTAGAAGGCAGATTGGGACAGGAAAGCTGGTGATAGGGAACCTAAGGTTGAGTAAGGACAGTGTTGACATGTAATGGGATTGTTAACCATTGTCATAGGGCAACATGTGTACTAACTGTTTAGTGAGAAATTATTTTGTTCTGTAAACCTTCATCTAAAGGGAGAATAGCAGCACAACTGGAAGAACATAATCAATGTCACTGAACTGTGCATGTAGAAATTTTTGAAATGGTGTATCTTTGGCTATGTATATTTTCACCAAAAAAAAAAAAAAAAAAAAAACGGTCGAGAAGGGAGAAGGTTGACATGTTGTGGGGTTGTTAACCAATGTCATAAAACAATATGTGTACTGACTGTTTAATGAGAAACTATTTGTTCTGTAAACCTTCACCTGAAGTGCAATAAAAATAAAAAATTTAAAAAAAAATTCTGCCATCACAGGTTCAATGGAAATAGTGAGACACTAAGGTCTTCTAAGGTCCCTGGGTGGCACAAACAGTTTGCGCTCAACTACTAACCGAAAGGTTGGCAGTTCAAACCCACCCCGTGGCTCCGCAGGACAAAGAGCTGGCGATCTGCTCCATAAAGATTATAGCAAAGAAAACCTTATGTAGCAGTTCTGCTCTGACACACGTGAGGTCGCCATAAGTCAGAATCAGCTTGACAGCAACAGGTTTGGTTTTTGGATAGGGTCTTCTAGGAGTCCCTGGATGGTGCAAACAGTTAAGCACTGGGCTACTAACCAAAAGACTGGCAGTTCGAACCTACCCAGAGGTGCTTTGGAAGAAAGACCTGGCAATCTACTTCCAAAAGATCACAGCCATTGAAAACCCTATGGAGCACAGTTCTACTCTGACATACACACAGTTGCCATGAGTTGGAATCAACTCCACAGCAACTGGTTTGGGTTTTGTTGTTTTTTTTTTTTTTAGGGTCTTCTAGGTAATCTCAGGAGTCCTGGTGGCATAGTGGTTAAGTTCTCAGCTGCTAACCAAAAGGTTGGCAGTTGGAATCCCCCAGCCACTCCTTGGAAACCCTATGGGTCAGTTCTACTCTGTCCTATAGGGTCACTATGAGTCAGAATCAGCTCGATGGCAATGGGTTTGGTTTGGTTTGGTTTAGGTAATCTCAGTTTAAGCCTAAAAACCTGTACATTTCTGCCTCCTGCAACTGTTCCCACCAGGAGCAGGTGACTTGGCAGGTCTGTGAGAGGCACGAAAAGGGGTAGGACATTGAAGCAGCAAATAACTGGTGTCTTCACTTCTCTCAGGCCCTTCCTCATTATCAAAACCCACACAGGAGTGAAATGTTGACCCTGCCTTACCTGATAGAGTGCTGCCCAGTCATTTCAGTCTAAGAACCACCTGGGCAGGTAAAAACTCCCTAACTACCTATTGCTGCCCTCCATCCCATTCAGAAAAATCTTCTGCAGTTAGGTTCTCTGATTCTTTGCTTTTTTTTTTTTTTTTTTTTTGCTATAAGGTTACAGATGAGATGATATTGGCGCATCTCCAGAGTAGAGCTGCTGTGATTTCTGTCACTTAAAGCAAATAGCTTTGCTGTTGCTGGGTTTTCTTCCCTTCCCAGGCTGCAAGATTCCTCATCACAGCTTCTTTGCCCTTTGGACCCGTCAGCCAACCACAGAGGAATCTTATAGCTCAGACTGAAAACCACAGTCTTTAAAAAAGTGAGAGGCCCCTGAGGATGCCTCCCCCATCTCCACCCAAGTACATGTCTTCATCTACTTCATTTAAAACATATGTTGTTGATTCCTGAGAGATAACCTCTAAAACCTTGGAATTTCCCCAGTGATTGAAGTGTCTTTAATGAGGCCTCCAGACCACAGCTAACCTAACAGGTTATGCTAATGAGGTGACTCTGTGTGGGAAATGGCCAGGTCAGAAAGACCCATCGTATGATATCAGCCGATCTCAGGGAAAGGGGCCAGGATTCAATCAATCATGCCTATGTAAAAAGACCCAACTAAAGCTTTAGACACAGAAGCTCCATGGGCTTCCTGGTTGACCAAAGTTATCAGTACACGGGAGGGTGACCCGCCTTTGTTGAAACCTGGAAGCTCCGAGTTGGGGACCCTCCCAGACCTCGCGCTATACATCTCTTCTTCATACTCATCCTGAGCTGCGTCCTCTTTGCTGTGATAAAGCTCTAATCCTGAAAAAAAAAAAATTCAATTAAATTAAAAATGTGTCATGGGATGGGGGTGGCTCTTCTTTTTCAGCCATACCAGAATTCCACAAGAAGCTGTCTTTGCTCTCATTCTGGACCAAGTGCTGCAGCCCAGCTGGTGTCTACCACAGCTCAGCCGACAGAATGATTAGGCAGCTGGAGGCCAGCTTTGCTAGAACTGTCAACAAAGAGTATCCAGGACTCGCCGACTCAGGTACAGGCCAGTGGGAGGGACAGCATTTCTGCCCTTAGGTATGAAAGTGAGCATTTGTGGGGTTCCGTGCCACCTCCACCACAGCCTGGAAAGCGGGGGGCGGGTGGCAAAAGGCCAGCCCTGAAAAACCTACTCGCCAGGGAAAACATCTTCAATAACAGCAAGTTAGATTTAAGATTTGAGACTGTGTATACCTTTCTCATTAAAATGTCACCACTTTGGAGTGTTACATGATTCAACAAACCTCAAAAAAACTATTTGGCAGTTTCTATGAAAGTTAAATATACATTTACCTTATGACCCAGTAATTCCACTCCTAAATATATCAAGAGAAATAGGTGTCAATGTTGACAAAAAAAGACATCTATAAAGACTGTTCATAGCAGCTTTATGCGCAGTAGTCAAACAATCAGAAACAACCTAAATCAACAAGAGAATGGATAAATTTTAATATAGTCATATAAATAGGATATTATACAGCAATTTTTTAAAAAAGGACAAATTACTGCAATTAGCAACCATTTGGATGAATCTCACAGATATTTTGTTGAATAAATGCAGTCAGATACAAAAGTAAACACTGCATAATTTTAATTTATATGAAGTTCAAGAACAGACAAAACTGATGTTTATAGAAGTCAGGTTATAGAAGTCTGGTAGCTACAATGCTACAGCTATCATGGCTATACCTATAATGGTTTTAGCTATAAAGGTTACATCTGGTTACCTCTAGGTAATGGTTACCAATTGGTAGCTATAGCCTGGGAAGGGGCACAAGAAAACCTTATGAGGTGCTGGCCATCTTCTATATCTTGATTTGAATGCAGTCACACACATGTATACGTATGTAAAAATCATCCAGCAAGCTGTACACTGAAGATTAGTTCTCTTAACTAATCTCCCTCTATATATCTTACACTTACAATAAAATGATAAATGAATTATGAATTATAAAATGGATGGATGGATGGGTGGATGGATGGATAGATGGATGGATGGGTGGGTGGGTGG